CAGTTGGTTTGAGTTCTCTTCATTTATTGGGTTTTACTGTGCTCAAATTGCGTTGTTTACTCAAATGGATCAAGTTCACAGTACTCATTAGGATTAGTTTTTAAACTTAAATGGTTTGTTGCAATCGGTTTCCTCAAATAGTTTGAGTTACCTTAACTTTTTGGGTTTTACAGTGTAGGAAATACTTGAGCTTGCCCAAAAATGCAGCCCTTCTATAAAAAAGATAACTGGTAAAGAATTGGACTAATCATTTATTACATTATACCTTGTGAAAATACTAAAAATTATTCCAACTACTGACAAATACTTAATTCAAATACTTTTTAGAAAGTAGCAGAAAAGCCATAACTTGAAATTGGTTTCAGGTTGATCCTTCAACAAGGGCTTAATGGATAGGAATTGGCGTTTAATCTAAGGCAGGGGTAGGGAACCTATGGCTTGGGAGCCACGTGTGGCTCTTTGACCAAATATATGAGTCTCCCTTCAATAAAAATTTTAAACTGTCACTAAAAATCTGTTTCCTATTGAAAATACAATTAAAATGACCTTTTTATAGTATATTTTCACAGCGAAATGAATAAGAATAAAAATAAAATGACATTTCAATGCGCATGTGCAGCTCTGTGGATTAACTTGAATCGGACACCAATAAAGGTTACACAACTTACATTTCTATGGTAACTTTGCACACGTAAGTTACATGTTAAACAACATTCATGAGTTCTGATGGCGAGAAGAAAAAAAAAATTCTATAAATTATCCATCCTTAATACATGGACTTGCTCAACATGTGATGCTTATATACCCATAATGGCTCTCTAAAAATGCATTTGCCACACAAAAAAATAACAAAAAAAAAATATCTGAAATGGCTCTTTGCCCAAAAAAGGTTCCTGATCTCTGATCTAAGACTTGATTAAAAACAAAGAAAAAACAAGTATTGGCAAAAATGGACTATGTCATCGTAAACAATATGTGATAATGTACTTCAAATGTATTATGATTTTGTAACCCATATGACAAAATAAATTATAAAAATAAAATATTAATATAAAATAATAGGAAACTGTGCACATGTCCTTGCTCTGTTAAACAACATTTGGTAAAATATTTAATAAAGAATTAACATTTCATAGGACAATTGTGTTAATACAATCTAATAAATCAGATAAAAAACAAGATAATAATTCAGCTAGATACTCACAGAATCAAGGAACAAATGTGAAATCCTTGCAATCATCTAAGAAAAAATATGCTTTTAAATGAATTTTACAAAAACATTTATGATATATAAAGTTTTTACAGCATACTTACAGTATCAGACTTGACTAACAAACTGACAGCGATAACAACATGCTAGTCACCTCTCCTTAAAAAAAGTTCAAAGGTAAAGACAGAAGTTATAAATAAAAATGTCAGAAGTCTGTGGAAGGGTCAATATCTCCTCCATGAAACTGGTCATCAATTCTGTGGAGGGAGGATTAAGGAAGGGTAAAGGGTTAAAGTCGGAGGAATAGATATGATCCAGATGTGTCTGAGGTTACAGATTTAACTTCTGAGAGCTTCAGGTGAGGTGTTTGATGTCAAGCTCACTCTACCTCAGCATTCCTGCGACTCACATATGCCACACATATGAGGTTCTTCTGATTGGCTGGAGACAAAATGTTGCATTCTTCCACCTTTATATACAAGAATCATACATGTAAAATTGAATGGAGATATTTTTTAAAAGATATAGATGTGCTTCTGCATTTATCCATTACAAGAAGCCCCGTTGCATCGCACATCTCCAATTAAATATTATTAATTCAGAAATTATGATAACACCACAACCACCAACCTAACCCGTTGATACAAGGCAGGATGGATCCATGCTTTCATGTTGTTGACGCCAAATTCTGACCCTACCATCCGAATGTTGCAGCAGAAATAGACTCAGACTAGGCAACGTTTTTACAATCTTCTTCTCTTCAATTTTGGTGAGCCTGTGTGAATTGTAGCCTCAGTTTCCTGTTCTTAGCTGACAGCAGTGGCACCCGGTGTGGTCTTGTGCTGCTGTAGCCCATCTGCCCTCAGACCAGCCTGTCTGGCATCAACAACCATGCCACGTTCGTATTCACTTAAATCACCTTTCTTACCCATTCTAGTGCTCGGTTTGAACTGCAGCAGATCGTCTTCACCATGCCTACATGCCTTAATGCATAGAGTTTCTGCCATGTGATTGGCTGATTACAAATTTGCATTAAAAGTAGTTGGACAGGTGTACCTAATAAAGTGGCCAGTAAGTGTATGTGACCCTTATTGAAAAACTATGGCTAATGTGATGTCTGTAATATACATACAATTTACCACCATCATTCTTATGATTTTCAGAATAACATAGCAAAGCGGAATAAATGACATGCGACGTCAGTAGAAACTCCATTTCATAATATTATTTTATTAAAATTTAGAAACTATTGTCAATATAAATCTGGATAACCAGATTAATAGTATTTGTTTTAGCTAACAGGGCCTTTACTTTTAGGTCTCATCTTCATTTTCTTCATTTAAATTCACAATTAATGGAAGGACAATTTTATAACAGTCGATATTCTTTGTATAGGATAGCACAGGGCCCTATCTCATCTTTACTACTAAGGAAATAAACCATAAGGACAAAAACTGAAGCTATTGTTTGTGCAAATCTGGAAAACCAGGTTAATGATTTTTTTTTTTGTTAACAATCTGGCTAATCGGTGGATTTAATGGAAGGTCAAAAGTAGATGTCTACATTTCTGCCGCTGTACCGTGGGACCCAACCAGAATTCTTGCGCGGTAGCGGTTGGTAACTCATTTGAACGGGAGCGGGCGGTCTTAACAATATAGCACAACATAGAAAGAGAGCACGCATGCGCAGTGGTGCTGTATGTGTGTGAGTGTGTGTGTGTGTGTGTGTGTGTGTGTGTGTATGAGAAAGCACACATCCGCCGTGGTGCAATGTGTCGCTTGTTATAGGCTGTAGCATCTTGTTATACTCTGTAGCATCCAGCTGGGTGTTTTTAGGAGGCATATTTAAATCCTTATACATTTTACATTCTTCCTTGGCCCAATATGTACCTGCCTTGTGTATATAAGTAATGCTTATATGATACTGTATATAAAACACAATCGGTAGGTGTCAAATATATTTAGTGGATATGTTTGTTAATCTGACTTTGAAAGAGTCAGTGCCTCACCAGCCACAAACCTTACCGCACATAACGCGGCACTCATGTCTCATATCAGAGGAGCAAAAAACAAAACAAAACTGACGTTTAGCCTACAATCCTTGCACAACCTACACTTTTATCTGTTATCCTTCTCTTTTGGTAGTGCCCAATTTTAATGTGAGATTTTGGAAACCAGATCTAAATTTAGCTGGAACAGTTGGGTTGGGTAGAAAATGATGCGGGTCGGGTAGAGGGTGAACAAAGACTAAATATACGGCGGGAGCAGTCGGGTGCAGAACAAAACCTGGCGGGAGCGGAATTAAAAATCCAGTCCCACACAGATCTCTAGTCAAAAGTCCATATTCCCTGTTAGTATAAGATCTCTTTACCAGCGCTGAGCCTCATCTGATATTTCCTACTATGGAAATAAACCTTAGGGTCAAAAACTGTAAACTTTCTAACCACCCAACGAATACACGACATGTGAACAAACAAAGAGACAGAACAACAACATCCAAAAGAATCCATTTTATTGTCGAACTATCTTCTTTGTATTTAAAACCCAAAAACCAATTGAAAGCATACAACTCAGGGCACCGGTGTTTTGTGACAAAGCACAGCTATCCACATCTCAGAGAAAAGACTGTGTATAACCTCAAAATCCTTAAAGCAAAAAACAGATTTTTTTTGTGTTCAGTGATCAGTGTGTGTCCGTTTAAGCAAACCAATAGACTGACTTTTAGAGAGTCAGAAACTGTGGGCGAAGTTTGAGAAAGAAAAATCGAGGAAACTCTACAAAACGTGTAAACTTGTAGATCATTTCAGAGGGCTGAAATTCTCCTGAATGCATATTTAAGTGATCATGTCTTTGGGCTGGTTTCATTAAGGAAGTCATGACCAACTGAAAAGGTCTGTCAAAAGACAGCATAAACCCTGTGTCCAGCCAGTGAAACCTGTCTGCTGAACTACACAGACCAATCTAGAAGATCTACGAGGCTGGTTTACAAAAAAACACCAAGTCCAAGGCAAAGATGTCAATCAAGTGGGCTAAGCTTAGACTTTTGCTTCAATATTTGTAGCTCTGTTTCTTCCCCATCAATCAATCAGGTTTTCTGGATCTCCACCAGATGTGGAGTCGACAAGCGTGTTTAGAGACGGCCCTGACAGAGCCCTTTGAAGGTGCAATGATGCAGGCTCCTTAAGGGCTGAAAGAAAAAAGATCCACAACTGAAATCTGGACAAGCAGCAGGGGGACGGAAGGGGAAATTGATAATGAAAGGGCGATGACAGAGAAATGGTGCAGAAAAGGGTACCAGCACCAAAGTTAAGTGGCCACAGCAAATGTAAACCAATCCACATTCAAAGCATTGCTTCTCAAGCCTCTAGAAGAGATCAGTCAATTACAATCTTGAGGAAAAGGAACCGCTCTTTGGGTCTCTCTGCAGCCAAGCCAAGATTTCAAACTTCAATCTAAACAAGAGATCAGAACCAACGCTCAAAGAAGCTCACAGTCCATCAAAATAAAGTAAAGAAATAGGGAGAAATTAAAGAAGCCATGTCTGCTGGGTGAAGAAAGTGTAGAAACACTACAAAACTAAGAAAGTAGATGTGGTGATGTGAAAAAGGTCAGTGCAGCAAACCACAAAGCTCCTTCAGCTGCACGTTTACTTCAAAATAGGCCTGCAAAAGGTATTTCCCTCAACATATAAAATCTTTCTGAAATTAAATAACAGCATCAATCCTTGTCTATTGATTATATACACAACATCCTTAGTGAGAGTTGGGGAAAGGTGTTTAATATCAGAAAAATTGGATTCACCAATGGCTTTTATTGGACCGCAAAGGGAGATGAGTGGGGGTGGCAGGAGCTTCGCCCAAGTGCTTTGTCAAAATAAACGTCCCAGAATGCACTGGGCTCACACAGAGTGCTACATGGGTACGACCATCATCTTCGGCCATCAATCATCATCATCATCAAAGTGATGCAGCTCACAGCATTGGATTGGGCGCATATTCGAGCACACGGCTGGCTTCGGCATTAGACCCGACGCAGTCAGTGAGGGAGGGGGCGAGTTAAGGGTTAGGCATACTAAAACGGCAGGAATACAGGGAAGCACGCCCGCTCTCACTGCTGTTTCCGGTGGGATGTACGGTGTAGCCCGGGTTCATTGGGGTTTTAGCTGCGAGGCAAACTGCACATCTCGCAGTGCTCAGTGCCGGGTTGGTTCATGAAGGTGCAGTGGAGGCAGGACCACACAGCTGAAGACGACTGTGGGAGAGGTGGACCACCCATGGCATAATCCAGAGATCCCGATGACTGCCCTCCAACTGTGCCTTAAAATGACAAGAAACACAATGAACTCCATTAGCCTAAAATCTTAAAAAGAAAACCTGAAACCACCGCGTTTATTTCACTTATAGACCCTTTACACAAGACTGTTATGAGGCGTTTCAAGAGTTCACACTTAGCTGATAATCAAAGCGTATTTGGCATGCTGTCCCGGGAGAGAGCCCTGAGCTCGTAATATCCTTGAGCCCGGGGCTCCCTCCTGTTAGAAGGGCGAAAGGGGAGTTTGAGCTCAGGTAGTTCTCGAGAACTCCCCTGCTTGTCGCGTGAGAAGTGTAAACTAAGTTTATATTGGGTGATAATTTGTTTTAGTCGATTGGCTATGGTTTGTTTTTGGACGGTGGGAGGAAACCGGGGAACCCGGGGGAAACCCACGCGAACACTGGGAGAACATGTAAACATGTAAAAAAGTGGTGTTCTTGCTGTGAGGCAACAGTGCAAGCCACTGGGCCACCGTGTCGCCCTATAAGCAAAGGGGGAGGAAGTAGGGGTGGAAAAAAGAGGCGGGAGCTTCAAGACGAAGATTACTGGAGTGAAAAACTCAGAATTTTTATACTGCTTCCGTAATCATCTAATAGGGCAGATTACGGAGCTAATAAGGAGCCAGGTCTGTTGATCATAAGCACGTGATCCTCTTGAAATTAGTTTATGAATAAACCACACTTAAAGGGTCGCGAAACACCAAAACACATTTGAGATGTTAAAAGTCATTTATGTGTCCCACGTTTTAAAAAACACTATTAGGACTCTTCTGTTTCACAAAAAATAGAAAATTGGTTGTTTTTGCGTTATTTTGAGCAAATTCATTCTTCTGGTTAGAAAAGAAATTTTAGCGATTAGATTCTTATGTGAATTCATACCTTGATCAAAATGATTTATTTACTATGTTTACAGTATGTTAATATCACTACAATATTATGGACTGAAAGATCTGCTGTAAATGCTGCTCTCCAAATGTAAACCTGTAAACGCCTTAATCAAACTATTACCACTGTGTATGATTTTTGCTGCATTTTGTTACAGGATAGTCTATACACACAGCAATTTGACGATATTCTCTGTATCTACCAAGGTTTTTTTGCCATATGGTGTGCGGTATCAAAAATTCCATTACAACTACACTCTTCCAGCAATTCCTCGCATCCAAATTCTTGTTTGTCACAGAGCGCAAGCATGAAATGTTCCCGAATGAAAGTGAAAGTGCCGAACTGCAGTTAAAGTCGACAAAAAATAAAACACTTGAAATTACATAAAACTTCAGAGGAAACGTGAATAGTGTGGTGACGCAAGGATGTTAATCGAATTATGTGCTATAACATGTAAAACAGGATCATGAAAGGAACATTCAAAAAGCAACTCATGTAAACACCTTAATCATATCATTGTCTTATTCAGCTTAAGGCAAATAATCAGATTCTAGCTGCCTTTATCAGTCTCACACTTTTTTTTTCAGCAAATAGGATTTTTAAAAAACTGATTTGTTGTACTCTCCCATTCACTCTCCCATTCACTGCGCTCTGAGTTTTACTTTGATGACTTCCGCCATGCCCTTACAAAACGCACTTGAGGCAGATGTAAACCTGATCCCTTAAACCACTTCAGGAGGTAGTCTGGGTTTGCATTCCAAATTAAACTGGACATGTCTATATGCATCTGTTTGTTAAAACCACATAATATATGTAAAATGTATTCCTTCTAAAATGTAAAAAAACTAAAACCTGAAAACAGTGTTTTTTTCTTCATTTACAAAAGGAACAATGTTTTGTTTAGGGGATGGTGTGCTAAACACTAACTAATGAAAACCCTTTACAATTTCGAATAATGCCTTGTGTGTATCTGCATGACAACAATTGATGACTTGAGTAATGATGTCTTACTTGAACAAAAGTGAAGCACAAAGCCTCTTGTAGCCTACATTTTAAAATCATTTGCATGCTAAATAACATATAAAGCTCACAATTCCTTAAAAATACTAATAATTAAACAGTGTGATCTGTCTGATGCTTAAGTCAATGTAAATTTGCATATAGTGCTGGATTTGAAGAGCAGATTTATATCCGTTAGTAGAGACAAAATTATGTGGCCAAATGTAAATGAGAACGTTATCAGAAATCAATCCGGTCAGAGAAAACAGACCCTAACAGAAAACAAACGATTTCTTTATAACACTTACTGCAGAGTTGCTCAATTGTGGCCCACTGTTCAGATTTCTTCCAGGTCTGAGCCAGCTCCTCATTGGATGTCTTCACTGCATCCAGCAGAAGGCCAATGCTGTCCTGTTGACATAAAGGAGAGGATGTAGATGTCATTTAAATTACGTGTGCAAGAATTACTTTTATTTCTTAGTATTTTTATATAACCAAAAAATGAAAATGGCACAATGTGAGGAACATAAAAACAGAAAGAATTACAGTGTTATAGTGGGAGCTTGATGTGTGTAGGATTATATATTATATCGGGACTATATAGCCATGGTTCAAAAGACATGAGATATGTGGAGTTTTAAATCAGCTCTATTGACCTTATTCTAAAATGTGCCTGTTTTTGCAACTGTTTTAGAACTTTAGATTCAGTCGCTTACGGGAGAAATGACCAGGAATAATAAACTGCAGAAAACGGCCAAACTACCTGATCTACAAACAAATGTTTGCATGACTATATAGACCAAGTAGAATAACATAATAAGAAAATATCAGTTTGCAACATCAAACAGCAAAATGAGCAGTTTTTAACATCTAAAAATGAATGGAAGTGAATGAGACCGGAAGTCTCGAGCCAAAAAGATTCAGATGGCTGCGCCTGCTCGTCGACAAAGAATAAGGTGAATATCTATGTTTGTAATTTGTTCATTTTATTTGTTCATATTATGCAGGTTGCACTCCCAACCAATCTAAAATTAATAAATCATTTTCAAATAGAGCTATTCAAGTAATCTGGTGAAAGTATATATATATATATATATATATATATATATATATATATATATATACATACACACACACACACACACACACACACACACACACACACACACATACACACACAAACATACACACACATATACATACATACATACATACATACATACATACATACATACATACATACATACATACATACATACATGTATCTATCAGAGGTCGTGTTAACTGAATATTTTCTGTCATTGACTGATTTTTTTTCATCAGTGACAGAAAAATCTGAAGGTGATCTGTCATTTTGTCAGATTATAGTGAGGGGGATCTATTGTAATTTGTAGTTAACTGTAATTCCCACTCTTGTCCAGCTGATGGCGATTGTCCTTGTTTTGTCTCCTCTTTGTCACCGCTGCATACACTTGAGAAAATCTCACAGCAGCTGACTGTGAGACGTTTCTTTAAAAGGCCAAATAGATGCAATATTAATAATAAAGGTGAAAAAAGAGGAAGTGATGCAGTGGAAGATGAAGAACAAACAGACATAAATCCTCAGTCGCCGACAGCTGTTAGTTATGAGCCAACCCAGAGGAAGCAAGGAGGTCAGGTGCTTTGGAGTGCGTTGTAAGCAGAGGGGTGCAGAAGGAGCGCAAGCTGTAGTATTTTTTCCTCTGTGAAACGAGTGCTTGCAGGATCGGGAAATGCCACATTCAGAGAATCAAGCAAACTTAGTTCTGATCACAGCCTTAGGAGAAATGTTTCCTAACTACAAAACGCTGGCTGAAGTTGCGCAAGTAATTCCGGTCTTTGGTCCCGAGAAGTCGACTTTCCGAGGCAAAGACACAGAATTTAATGACAATTGCGTCTGCATCAGTCTCCCTTGATGCGTTTGATTACGCACAGGCAAACACCTAGTTCAGGTCGACGCAAGAGGAAGTTATGAGTTAAGGCAGATGGGAGTTTTTGTTCATTTGTCAAATAAATAAATGGATAGTTTAGCCTATATGCTCTACGTGCAAGTTCATTATTAAAATATGAATGAAAACTGCAATTAGAAAGTTTGCAAATTAAATAACGATCAATAATAGGTTATGATGGAAATTTTACAACCCTCTCCCTCAAAATGACGGACAATGAGAAAGTCCAACGCGACCTCTGATATATACATAGATGCTCTGGGATATACCAAAAATAGAAAATATCAGATTCTTCCAATATCATCAAGACCTAACAAATATGATGAAAAACTCACCTGTAAGGGCATGACCTCGTTGGTGACAAGAAAGAGAAGCAGATGGAAGTCTGAGACGATGTCCAGAAAGGAAGTGGAGGACGTACACTGGGAAAGATACGTTGCTAAACTGTGGAAATCCTGCACAGACACATTTTTAGGAGAATATTTAACAAGAATTTCTTCTAGAAATTGGATTTACAAAAAGTAGAACAGTGTAGTGGTCACATTTAGCAAAATAAGATGACAGAAATCTCCACATGCGACAACCTTAAAATATTCTTCCTTGACTGAAGAGAGACTTTTGAACAGTAAATTGGTACCTGAGTCTCTCCCAGAGCATCTCTGTTCTCAATGGGGAAGCGAAATGTGGAGGAGAATGTGAACACTGGGTCTTTTGGGAAAGTGGTGGTGATCTGAAAAAGAGGTTTAAATAACAAAATCACTAACAAATAAAGCTTAAAAATTCCAGCTTTTTACAAACATAGAATCAATCTAGAAAGGGTATTTGTTCACAAAATTACTTCACCGGCAACACTTTAGCTGTGGCCTTTTATCTGGGACATAAAGGCTGAGTGTCTAGACTTAGAAAGAGCAAATGTAGTTCTAATATCAATACAAGTACTTACATCAATAATCAAGTACTCCACTGGCAGTGGTCGGGCTAAATGTGTGATGTCATTGCCGAATTTGTCTTTGTCCTGGAGGTGGAAAAAAAAAAAAAAAAAAAGATTTGAAAACATGACCTTTTTCATGCCACACTGACAAATAATCCCCATAATTCCTGTGACAGACGTTACACTGATAAGACGGTTTATGCCCAAAGCAACAGAAATATGAACCATCATTCACTCTGTTAAAAGAAATGTGACAAGCTCAAGTTGAAGAATAGCTCAGACTGTTCAGAAACATCATTCAAACCCTACATGTGTGCAGCATGGTTACTGTTACATGCTGGAACAGATGTAAAACTGCTCCACTGTACATTTCTAAAAGTGTGCATGTATACTTTTGTTTTTTTAAATCTGCATACAGTAAGGTTTAAAAATATATATTGTACTAATACTCAGCAAAATGAGTTTAACTTAACCCTTGTGTATTGTTCAAATTTACCACCCTTTTATTATGCTGGTGGCTGTTTTTGCCCTGTTGACTTTCATTATAACAATATTTTTAATAGCCAAGCCTTGACACCAAATAGTCATGCATTTTTGATTGTTGGTGGTTTTCCCTGTTGGTAGATGTAATTTTTACGGTTTTTCATCAGTTGTCACCATTAACTCTTTAGATGAACAGGGTTTCTACAGGTTTCACAAACACTTTAAGACATTTTTAAGACCATTGTGAATGAAATTTTAGACAGGGCTAAATGCTAAGGTTTTTTTTTTTTTTTGAATATCTCAATTAGAAAAGAATTTCACTTACCCTATCAAAAATTATTAAAATTGAATACATTTAATAATGCAATAATACTAATTTTGTTAGATTTTTTCAATCAATTTTCAAAAATATCCACTCACAAAGCCTACAACCTTCATCAAGAACAGAACAAAACATAGCTGTCAATTACTTCAGTCTAAAATAATAATAATAATAATTTAGTAATCAATGATATAGGTCAGGTCAGTATCCTCGGCAATAAATAAATGGAGAACTTTTAAGCAAATGTTATTGTAGGGAAAATAATTAATAGCTTTTTTAAATAGAAGGTTTTATCAAGATTGGAATTGTTGGTGATTGTATGGGTGTTAATAGCCATTTTGGGTAGCTATAGATTAGATTAGATCCAAATTTGTCATTACACATGTACAAGTACAACGCAATGAAATGCAGTTTAGGTCTACCAAGGAGTGCAATAGCAGCAAGTGCAGGATATACAGTTGAAATGTAAATTATTTGCCTCCCTTTGAATATTTTTTTATATTATTTCCCAAATGATGTTTAACAGAGCAAGGAAATTTTCACAGTATGTCTGATAATACTTTTTCTACTGGAGAAAGTCTTATTTGTATTTTTTGTTGTTTTTTTGTTTTGTTTTTTAGCTAGAATAAAAGCAGTTTTTATTTTTTTTAACATTATTTTAAGGTCAAAATTAATAGCCCCTTTAAGTTATATATTTTTTGATAGTCTACAGAACAAACCTAATTCAATAACTTGCCTAATTACCCTAACCTGCCTAGTTAACCTAATTAACCTGGTTAAGCTTTTAAATGTCACTTTAAGCTGTATAGAAGTGTCTTGAAAAATATTTAGTAAAATATTATTACTGTCATCATGGCAAAGATAAAATAAATCAGTTATTAGAAATGACTTATTAAGACGATTATGTTTATATATGTGTTAAAAAAATAAAAAATAAAAAATAAACGGAAAAATAAACGGGGGCTAATAATTCTGACTTCAACTGTGGGTATAAGTTATAAAGTGCAATTATAGAAAAACTATAATGATATTTACAGAGTGATGTACTCTGAACATTATATACAGGTTATATTAACTATAGACAGAGATTTACAATAGACGAATACATGTACAGGTTGCTATTAATAATCCGAATTATACAGTACACGAACTAAGGAAAATTAAGACCTGTTAAAATAGATTTAAGACCTTCAACAGAACATTTTAGTAGATTTAAAACTAAGTCCTAAAACTTAGCTTTTGAAGAGAGAAATCTGTCTGAAAGCAGAAATCTGTTATTTTAAATTGCAATAATATCACAATACTACAGCTTTTATTAAATCAAATAACGGGATATCTAGAAGGAACGAGGATTAAAAAGAATGTAAGTCAAAAACACTTACATGGATTAAACCTTTGAATGATATTTATTGTGCAAGCATATAATTCCTAATTGCATGCAGCATACACATTTAGCATCACGCTATTATGACTGATCATCTTTAGAAGCGTTTTATTCAAGTACCTTATAGAAGACATCAGGGACGTACTGCTCCGTGCTGGACTCTTTGGCATAGCCCAGTTCAGGAGCATCTCTGCAGGGCAGTAAACATTCGTCCCTCACCAGAGCCATGCACTGATTGGACACCTGATACCCTTCAAAGTGCACCTGGTTATCGGGACCACCTGTCAACACACATACACACAAAAATACAAATACTAAGAGTCGAAACACACTCTATTTTTCAGGAAACTAATTTCTATAAGCTGTAAATGTGTTATAGAATGCTTCAAATTCCAAGATGCTTCAATTTACAACCCCACAGTCGAACATAACAGCAGCAGTAAATCTTGTGCAAAGGAGGAAGCCGTGTACCTGTTGCCACCACTGTGACAAACTTTGATCCAAAATGACCATCTGGGGAAAGCCGACACATGTTGGCTTGCTGATTCTGAAAGTGTCCAGCAGTAATACACTCCTCTGCACTCAGGAAGTAGGAATCCTGAAAAAGGCAACATGCATCTATTGATCAGTAATGGTCTAAGCAGTTAGTCGAGGCTCATCTTTCACCAGCCAACTCACCTTGTTTCTGGTGTAGCGGACAGTGCCTATCCTGGTGTCCTCTGACAGCAGATCTGTAAAAATCCACCCCACCTATAGAAAACATTATTGTAGTTATTCATTTTATTCAATTACTCATATTATTATTTATTGGCAAGCAACTTCACATGGTCAGGCGGAAAAAATGGGTCACTGTTATCATCCATCAGAGTAGCTTGAAGGCATCATATGGAAGCCATAGAGGTGTGGAGAGAGAGGAACTCTAAGAATCCCATTTAAGAGCCTTGTGGGATAGGTGAATACACTATGGCACATTTACATTTGGGATTTATAAATGCATATTTTGAGGTTGGATTGTTTTGGTGCAGCTCCACCATAATAATACAACATTTTTCAACGAAGTACAACACAATTTAAGGCCATTTTCTCATTTTTCTGTAATGACTAGGGAGAATGTGACTTTTTTTTTTTTTTATTTAGACATGGAAAAGGTCTTTCACCTTCCGCAGGCCCAGTTTGGCAGCTATTTCCTCGACTGCATCTGCTTTGGGATCTTCAATCAACTCCAAGCTGTTCTGAGTTGCAATCTGATAGAGAACACATTAGTATAATCATATCTGATCTGATCTAGATAAATCAAAATACAACAGCTACAAAGTGTGAACATGCACAACTTTGACAATAATTGAAAGGGATAGTTCACACAAAAATTGTAATTTACTCACCCGCAAGTGGTTTCAAACCTTTTGAGTTTCATTCTTATGTCTAACACGAATGAAGATATTTTGAAGAAGGCTGTAACCACAGACTTCCATAGTAGGAAAAACAAATACTGTGGAAGTCAATGGTTACAGGTTTCCAGCTTTCTTCAAAATATCTTCTTTTGTGTTCAAAAGAAGAAAGGCATCTAAAGAGGTTTGTAAAAGTAATCAAGTAAAAGGATGTAAATAATGAAGATTTTCATTGTTGTTTCAACTAGCCCTTTAAGAACAAATTGGACTACATGGCAGACATGAACAGTGACGTTTTCTCCCTGATCAAATTATTTTTAATAATTTCTAAAACCAGTTTCTGAAGGGGTACTGTCCTGCAGAGTTTAACTCAAAGCTGAACTCAACACCCCTGATTAAACTAAGATCTTCAGACTCTAAACATCTGTGTTTGGACACCTCTGGATTGAGCTGTATGGTACAACAAAATGGTCTGAATATTCAGATTCTTATTTTATTTAATGCCATGTCAGAAACAATGGCTATTTTCATGGCAAAAACATTTAATTAATAAATATCAATCTATTAATAAATAACAATAACAAAAAAACAAACAAATTTTTGTACATTAATATATGATAAAAAAAAAATAGATTTGCCTAGTGACACATTGCTAAATATCTCAAGCGAGTTCATTCCATTAAAAACTCTTCTGCAGTCATTAACAGTCTAACAGAATGTGTTTTACAGTAATAGGAATTTTGCATTAAAAAAACACTGAGTGAGGTCTTCACTTTTAAGCAAAAAAGCTTGGGTTAAAGGAGGCTGCAAAATGAACTAAAATGATTTATATATTCATTACATTCTGACAATGAATAATACTGTGTCATGTCTAATTATGTCAAGTTAAAAATCACGTTTAAATTTTAAAAAAGGAAAAACTACAATCAAAGCATAGTTCCAGAAATGTTGAGAAAAAAAATCTTGAAATCAAAAATGCTGAAAACCTCTTGTTTAAATATCAGTCTTCTATTGCCCTCTTGTGTTTATTCAGCAGCAGTGCAGACAAAAGATCAGATATTGCTTTATAAAGTTACTTAATACTTAATACTATTTTTCTAAAATGGGCACTAGAGTAGGATTTGGCCCAAAATCTAAATCTCAATAAATTGAACGTTTTAACTCTATTATGATTAATAAACGATTGTTTTTTTCCCCTCATAGTTCACGAACAAGTTTTGTACTGTAAAAACACTCACTTTGAGTAAAGGACGCATTATCTGATTTTAAAATAATTAAAGGAAACACATACTATCTACTATTTATGATTATTTATTGAACATCAACGTCGAACAACTGAAATTAAAGCACACATTGCCCAAAACCAACACTCCTTTTTTCTGATAAAAAGTGAAACTAAATAACTTGCACTTTTATGAAACTAAATAATTTTTTTTATGTTTTTATATTAAAAGTAAAAAATAAGCAGTATGTCTTCTAAATAAAATAACTCTTGTATATCCTGTAAATATTTCAAATATAAAACAATATTATATTTTTATTGCAATAGAAAATATGCCGTCTGAAGGAATCTCTGAGTCAGCTTTCAATCATCGTCAATGTAGCGCAAACGTGTGACGTATAGTTACAGTTTTTGAAAGGTGCGCGGGTATGCGACCGCACCAAACCATACCCATGCACTTGACGAAGAAGTATAAATCAGCCTTAACAGAGCGATGTTACATGACTCCACATGCAGTAGGGAATGTATTTGAAAAAAATTTACCTGTAAAAATTAGATCGATTATAAATTCTGAATGTAGATTTCGATTACTTTTCAATTAATCACCCAGCCCTACACTAGAAGACGACAAATTTTGTGTCAGATCGGAATTCCTCACCTGAGGAGGTTCATAAATGGCAGCAACCTCTGCTCGAATGCCGAGAGGGATGTCTTTGTGCTCGGTGTAGCGTCCGTACAGGTACCCCATCCGCTGGTTTCCCGTCTTCCTCCAGAAGTCAAGGAAACGGTCAGCAATAGTGTGGTTCTCAAACATGATATTATCCACATGCCGATATTTCTGTAACATAAGATTTCATCAGGTCAAACCAAGGACAGTAATAGGACACCGTCCCTCAGGGAGCGCTCATTTACTCGCCGGACCAGCAAACAAGAGATGCAGATGTCTTCAAAGCTAGAAACTGACGAGCAAACAGGTTTTCTGTGTGCATTGTAAGAGTGAGATGAAAGTAATGTTAATGGGGAGCTGGGAACCTGTCTGTTGAGAGTGATGGCGCTGGGCTGGCACTTGGTACAGATGCCCTCTGGCCAAGGCGGATGCCCCTCACAGCCCGATTTAATCTTACAGCTGATATTCTCAAGCGCCACAAACTTCCCCCTGAGGAATAGAAAAACTTGCTTAAAATCACTCTATTCCTGATGTCCATTTCAGGGAAGTTTTGAAAATTCCCAGAAGCACTTACTTGTCTGCTCCTCCGGTGAGTTTCCGGATGTAGGCATGAAAGGACATGTGTTTGACCGGAGGGTCAAGATGGTTCAGATAGTCTTCATCAAATGGCTATTAAAACAGAAATATGGAAGATGAAAGAGCAAATGTAAATGTAATGCATAACTATGTGATCCAGTAATGCACAAGCCTTGAACATGCATAGCAGAGAGGCAGACTTAAACATCTTTGATAACATGGGGCAAGTTAATTATCAGGAAATTAATATTTGAAGATAATTAATTTATATATGTAAGCAACTTGAAGTTTTAATCTTCATTTTAGCTATTGTAGTGTATTTCTCTTATTTTAAGTAAATAGTTTTTCAATAAAACTTTTTAATTTGCATGCAATTTAAAAAAAAGTTTCAGGAGCCTGTTTCAAAATAAAAAATAAAGTAAACAAGTAAAAAAAAACAAAGTAAAACAAACAAACAAACAAACAAAGAGTGATTTTGGAGTTTACAACATTTCAGTTGTATTACTGGGCATGTAATATAAGAGCACTTTCGTTTGGGTATAAAGACGGGTTAACAGATTGGGGTGACATGAAAAAAAAGTCATGTTCCCCTTCATCTTGGCCTGCTTTACTTAGCTTTATCTGCTCCCCCCATATCTCAATTAAACAATCCAGTGGTTTCTAATACATTTAAAATTTAGAAACAGGTTAGAAAACACTTTAAGTGGTAAGCATGTTCTGTCTTAAGCCCACTGACCGAGAATCACTCATTTATCTCTCCTCAAATTTCAGGTCTGGTCTAATTAAGGGATTTATTATTTTTTTTAAATATTTACAAGCTCTCAGTTTTGCCCAAACTAATTTTAGATTATGTCCCCCCCATTGACCCCCTAGTAGAAATTTTGTTTCCACAAAACCAATTTATGAAAGATGGAATTTCAGTAATATATAATAAATTGTCTCAGTTAGAATGCGAAGTTTCATTAGAGCATCTCAAAATGGCATGAGAAGAGGATCTCGGAGCAGAAAATAAAACTGGCAATGGGAGACATCAGGCATGCTTTAATACAATTTAAGGATTCTGAAGATTTTCCCTTCTGTAGAGCCACTGTGTGATAGATGCAGTCAAACCCCGGCATCGCTCAGACACCAGTTTTGGAGTTGTCCTATAACAATTAATTATTGGATTTTGGTTTTCAATTAATATCAGAAGTGGTGGGAGAACAAATATAACCTGGTGATTATTTAAGCTATACTTGGTGTCAGTGATTATGCAAAATTATCTAAAACTCAACGTACAGTGATTAGATTTATAACCTTTTTGGCACGTAGATTGATTTTACCGAATTAGAAACAAAAAGATCCTCCACGTTACTCCACAGTAATAAAAAATGTCATGTCTTGCCTGCAACTTGAGAAGCTAAGACTTTCCCTTAAAAATAAAACAAGAATTTCCATGTAATATGGAATCCATTTATTGAGTAATTTAAGAAGCAGTGATTAAACCCTAGTACAAACACCGCAAATTCCCCCCTTATTAAGTTCATTTATTTTTTTTCTGTCTGTTCTTTTCCTCTTCCCCCAACTTTTCTCTATTTTTTTTCTCTTATACCTAACATGATGTTACCAATTTTTGTTTAAAAAAGAAAAAATAAATACATGTAAAAGTTATAATTTGTCCTGATGAGAATGTTAAAAACATTGTTTCAATGTCATATGCAAAATAAAAAAATGTGTTTTCTCAGCTCTGTGTGAATGGGGAGAATCACAAGTTCTTACCTCTAAAGGTACACAGTGCACACATTTCCCCATGGCACCATGCCGGCACCTGAGAAACAATGACAGAGAATCCTTGTAAACAAAGTATTCTGCAGTCCTCATTTTGCACCAAATTATACACTAAGCTCCATAATGCAATAGCTTTAAAGGGGTGGTCAGAGTGTATTTTTAAGGCTTGGTTGTGTTTATAAGATGTAAAAGAAAACCATGTTATATTTTTATACATCTTACTTTAATTACATACAGCTACTCAGCTAACATGAAAACGACTGTCATATTTAATGGTTCCCTGAAAGCCCACCCTCAAGAGGCTCTGATTGGTCAGCTAACATAATGTGCTGTGATTTGCGGATTGAGTCCACGTCACCAGGAAGCATTACGACTAGTCATGCCTCTACTGATACTTCCACTAATGCCTCTGCTGTGTAAATACTGTCAGACATTGTGAGCCTGAATTAAGACAGAAAGTGGAGGACACAGGTGAACCTTATGCTTGCTCTCTAAAATAAAACCTGACAAGAGTCTTTCATATATATTTGAGTTATAAGCATGTGTAAGTAATATGAAACATATTCACATATCTTTTGCGAGTTTGTTATTTGAGATGAGAATGCAGGGAAAGCGACCGCATAAAGACACTGCAGCGCTGGTGAAGATTGTGGCTGTTTACAGCGATTTGATGGATAAATATGAATTTGTAGCTAAATTGGTAACGGTGCCAAACAGCATTTCCCGTTGTTTACATTCTTGCTTACGTCCTTGCTACAATACACCGCTAATGTTAGAAATAGTGCATGTAATTGATCAATTTTAACAAATAAAAATACTTACAGGCTGTGGCTCGAAATCCACAGCTTATGGCCCCTATTATCAGGAGTTTTTAGCTGAATCCAGCACTGAACTGGGAGAGATTCTGGAAGCTCTCCTTTGTCAAATGCTAGCTATATATTTTTTATAATTCTCTGGAACATAATTAAAATGAAATTGTAAGCACTTCTCTCTTGGTGCCAAGTCCTTTGGAAGCCCAAATACAGAAACAGCAGAAGCTCTGTGGAAAAGCAGCGTTTGGACGACTTTTTAGCTTTCTCAGCAATATCAATGCAGCGTCTCTGGCCATGCCGCTTCGCAGGGTGTGTGTGTGTAATCTAAAGCGTTTGTGACCTCACTTACCCACATGTGTTTTTTTGTATTGCCCAAACTTCGTTCCCTGTAAGCTTTGCTAAGCTAACTCTGTAAAAGCCAATGTCTCCCTTTGCACTGAACTTTGAGCGTCTTACATTTAAAGATGTTGTTTATGTTCTCACAGCTACATCACACATCAACTTAAGTTTAAAATATGATATAGTAGTGGACCACCCCTTTAAAATATGGAAGGAAAATAACTTAATAAACCCTGTCAAGACATGCAATAAAAAAAAAAATTGCAAGGCAGTGTAAAAAAAGAGAGGCCAACTCACAGCTGGGGATCTCGGTTTCTGTAGATCTTTCCCTCCTGCTTGGACAGATACTGGTCAATATCATCCTCTGGGATCTGTGGTGCAGAGTGTGAGCGGGATAAAGAAGAAGAAGAGGAGGAGGATGAAGGGAAAGATGGGAAAGAGGAAGAGGTGTGAGGCTGTGCTGTGTCCATGTTCTCACTGGAGGGTCCAGCTGAAGATGGGTAAAGAAAGAGCATGTCGCCATGCCTAAAAGACAAGAGAGAAAGCTCAGTCATCTTACTTACATAAGACTTCTTTGCTCACACATGCACAAACAAGTAAGCCAATCTCTCACAACAAGCACCCTTACTTGATTTTCAGCAGGCTGAGGGCTTTGTTTTGTGACAGGATCTCACCAGTCTTGTTCCGGTTCAGGTAAACTGAGAAGCCATTTGAACTGAAGCCAAACTCTTTGGCAACCTGGCAAGAGGATTGCAAAGAATGTCAAAAACAAGAAGTTAACAAGTCTTTCATTGTTCTTCCTTGAACAGATAAAACTAAAATAAAAGCAGCAGAGTAGTTCTCACAATAACAAAAATAATATGCTACTCATAATAACCTTTATTTTACTTTTACGGAATAGTGAGAAAATCATGATTTAGCTGGCAGCTAGCTCTCTGCAACTCTCACAAGGTCGCCCACTGAAGCTAAGCAGGGTTGCGCCTGGTCAGTACCTGGATGGGAGACCACATGGGAAAGCTACATTGCTGCAGCAAATGGTGTTTGTGAGGCCAGCAGGGGGCGCTCAACCTGCGGTCTGTGTGGGTCCTTATGCCCCAGTATAGCGACGGGGACACTATACTGCTCAGTGAGCACTTTCGGATGAGACGTTAAACCGAGGTTCTGACTCTCTGTGGTCATAAAAAACCCAGGATGTCCTTCGTAAAAGAGTAGGGGTTTAACCCCAGCATCCTGGCCAAATCTGCCCACTGGTTTCTGTCCATCATGGCCTCCTAACCCTCCCCATAACAGAATTGGCTTCATCACTTCACCAATCAGCTGGTGTGTTGTGTGCGGTCTGGCGCAAAATGGCTGCCGTTGCGACACCCAGGTGGATTCTGCACACTGGTGGTGGATGAGGAGATCCCCCCCAATGTGTGCCTTGAATGCCTTGAATTGGAATTATTATTATTATTATCTTGATTTGAAGCAAAAATAAATTGTGATGCTTATTTTAGACAGAATCTTGCAGCCCTAACATACGCAACAACTGTAACTCAACAGGCTGGTCACACTTCAAACCAGACATAGTCCACTACCAGGTGGTTGTTAAATCAATATAAAAGAGAACCGTACATTAAAACAAGTGCAGTCTTAGAAACTTAATAAGAATCCATCATAAACTGAAGAGTGTCTATTACACACAAAACCCCAGCAGAATTCCCATGTCAATATTATGGATGCCTTTTTAAAAATGCAGTTTCGGTGCACATTTATTTTAATCAGAAGATAAACAAGCATACATATCTCACTCATCCCTTACAACAAGAAATGTTAACATCTCGCTGTCTGTTTCCTGCTATTTAGTGCTAAATTCAAAGAGTGAGACGGTCTCAATTGATCGGCCGGCTCACTCTCCTCCCTCATGCTGAGAGACATGAATCTTTAATGGCTCCTGCAGTGTCTACATCAGACAAACACAAACCCTCTGCCTGTCTCAAAACAGCCTGCAGAATTTTAAAGCCTTCAACAGACCAAATCCTCTAAGACTTGCATATTAATAAACTCCTAATCAGTATTCAAGCTATGAAAGGCTAAAGATAAAAGACAAGGCTGGGGTAACAAGATCTAGTTTTATTTTGAAATATAGAAATGATCACACCAAGTATAATAGAGTCTATTTGAACTACATAATTATTATTATAAGCATTATGCTGCTTTAAATCCTCAAGCTCTTTCAATTTAGACATATTCTGAGTGGTTGTCAATGTCAAACAATGACAGAGGAAAAAATAAATCATCCAAAAAGTTTTTTTTTTTCCTTTGCACCACTAATCTTACAGTTTTGGTGTTTGCTAAGGATGCTCCTATCAGTATTTTTGCAGTCAATACTGAATACAGATTCTTTGTCATGGTGATCGGTCGATACAGAGTACCGATTGTGATTCTTCAAGCTTTATATAACTTTGTCATTGCATAAGCACAATTACCCTTCAAGTATGAGATCTCGCCTTACCCAAGATAATAAATTAAGGATGTTGCATACATGTAATGGTCAGTAGCAGCTTTAAAAAAAAAAAAAAAAGAAAAAAAAAGAAAAGAAAAAAAGATAAAACATTCAAAAAAATGGTATGACCAAGGACTAATAATGCAACTTGGAAGCATGGCTCATGTGTTGTAGCACTGCTGATGCATAACTAGGATGATTCATTCCAATTAAAATGCTTCATCAAAAGTATTTTCTACCCTTATGCATCTTTCTCTCTCCTTTCTGAACTAATACACTGTGATTTTTATTTCTTTCTGGTTGTATTTTTATTTTAAGTTATTTTCTTTGTACATTTATCATTTTCTCCCTTGTTTTTGGTATTTTATCATATAAAGACAAAATACTATTTGGACAAATATCCATAGTTCACAACAGTTAAATTAAAAACACTTCTAAAGGATTTATTAATGTCAAAAGTTATTTTTGAAATCAGAAGCTTTCTTGATCAATATATTAAATTGAATTATTTTGCTTAGAATTAGCTCATATTAACTACATATTAACTAACACATTACCTTATGTTAACAAATGAAACCTAATTATAGAAGTGGTACATTATCTAGTTTAATATACCTGATCTAACATTTTTATTATAATTTTTTTTTTTTTTACAAGGTTTGCTATAAAAAGACATTTAGATGACGCATTTATAACTGAAATTAAAATACATGAATACTACATTTTATTTTTGGGGCATTTTGCTCACTTTTTGCATCATTTTGGCCCCAAACCCTGGTTCATTCCTGACTTTGCAGCAGAACAAACTCCGCCCGTCCTGCTTTGCAGCACAGTGGAAATGGGTGTCCCTGCAGCCCACATCTTTGAGACTGCAGTGTATGGACATACAGGTCTCCTTTTTCACAGCCGCTTTATTAATAAATAAACACGGAGCACTCAGCAAGAGTTCATACTGCCACTTTTTAGTGACAAACAGGAACTGACGCTGTGCTTTTTTTTTTTTTTCACCCAGAGTTATTCTCAGCTTTTTTATGGTCTGGTTAAAATTGTCACTATTGCATAAGTGCTATCTGTGGTAAATAGTAACAGCTACTGTTGTAGCTTTATTGAGCAAATAAACCCAAGTATATTCAGTATTTAATCTTTGTCTTCATATATGAATTTAAAAAAATATGTATAAATATATATACAATAAAGTATAAATTATTAAAATATATATTCATCAAAGTGACATCCGCCAGCAATCTAGTTTTCTCATGTGGTCTCCCATCCAGGTACTTACTGAGCACAGCCCTGCTTAGCTTTAGTGGGCGACCATGTGAGAGTAGCAAAGAGAGAGTTGCTGACACATAACCTGCTTGTCTACAAAGGCTAGTTGATTAACGCATTATTTCATTTTTTGAACACATATATTATATAAATGTAAAATGTAATTATGTTTGGGGTCTGTATCTGGATGGCTGCATTATTTTACAGTAGAAACAGTAATGCTGTGAAATATTATTACAATTTAAAGGAAAAAAGTAAAAAAGTTCTAAAAAAAATACCTTTTTAGGCTGTAATTTGCTGTTCTCCCTGTCATAAACATAGTCTTGTGTAAATTTTCATATATGTTGTTTGTTATTTACTTTATTATTTTTTTGTGATAGAATCTCAGTGTAACTAATCTATTATATATATATATATATATATATATATATATATATATATATATATATATATATATATATATATATATATATATATATATATATATATATATTTGTATTATTATTATTTAAATGTTTCATTTATTTTTACACTTACTGTTAAGCGTCTTTACACCCACTTTCATTTTTTATGCTTTAAACTTAAAAGATAGCAACAGAATCTAATATTCATGGGATTATAGTGTAATATCCTTTAGAAATTACTCCAATATGCCAATTTGTGTCATTTAATATCAATTATTTATCAATATACAGGGTGTTTCAAAATAATACCAGAACTTTTGGGTTGATGTGAACATCTATGAACTTGGTTTCTACTGGAAAAAAACTTAGTTAAGTACTCTTCACACATATTCATTGATTAATTAAGCAAGGCTCCATCATGTTTCCGTGATTAAATACATATTTTCAAAGTTGTGGTATTCTTTATTAATTACACTGTATTATGATTATGAATAATGTTAAACATGCTGAACTGATTAATAGCATCATTTAAAAGATGTGATTGATTTTTTATAAATATATACAGCTGAATTTAAAATTATTAGCCCCCCTTGAATTATTAGCCCGTTTATTTTTTCCCCTAACTTCTGTTTAACAGAGATAATTTTTTCAACACATTTCTAAACATAATAGTTTTAATAACTTATTTCTAATAACTGAAATATTTTATCTTCGCCATGATGACAGTAAATAATATTTTACTAGATGTTTTTCAACACACTTCTATACAGCTTAAAGTGGCATTTAAAGGCTTAACTAGGATAATTAGGTTAACTAGGCAGGTTAGGGTAATTAGGCAAGTTATTGTATAACGATGGTTTGTTCTGTAGACTATCGAAAAAAACATATAGCTTAAAGGGGGTAATAATTTTAACTTTACAATGGTTTTTAAAAATTAAAAACTGATTTTATTCTAGCCAAAATAAAACGCATAAGATTTCTCCAGAGGAAAAAATATTATTAGACATACTGTGAAAATGTCCTTGCTCTGTTAAACATCATTTAGGAAATATTTAAACAAGAAAAGAAAATTCAAAGGGGGGCTAATAATAATGATAATAATAATGAATAATGATATTTACACAGAGAGAGAAAGGGATCCTACAGTGTGTCTTTAGATGAGATAAGTGAGCTGTTATTTTAGTTCCATAAAAATTTGAAGAAAAAAAAACAAAAAACAAAATAATAATTCCCTTCTTGTACCTTCTTGAGGAAAGCTGCAGCTGTCTCATGTTTAGTAGAGCTGATTTTTTTCATTCCATCTGGGGACTGAATACGGACGATCTGTCAGTGAATAAACAAGAGGAAGAGAAGTTTCTGGTTACTGCAACAGCTTGCTGTTCACTCCTATAACCACCAACACATCTAGTGCAGATTTACTGATGCATAACAAATTACTTTAAATGAAACACTATTAGAAGAATGTAATTTATGACATTATTGTCATAACTGAATGATAATGAGCACAAAACAATCCAAAATGAATAAAAAAAATAAAACAATAAGGTTAAGTTGGCTTTATATTCGCACATTTGTTCATTTTTGAACAGTCATAACTTGACATGATCTCGATATTGTTTATTATACTACTTTGAATATTGGGTGTCAAATGGCATTTATCTAAATATGGCTTAAAAACAACATTAGCTCCATTTAATTGACTATGAACTATGTTGTACTTTGATAGTCATTGGCTGCTAATATGATTTACCATTTAGAATTTGCTGAGAACACTTTTCTGAAATTATGTGATTAAGGAGTCCAAATGTGCAAAAATAAAACCAACTTTAACTCAATAAATACAGGTGGTTGTAGGGCAAACCATTGACATCTGACACTCAATAAACAAGCACTAAAGTCTCCACATACCACACGACTAGCATCATATTGAATGCCTTATTATATTATACTCCCGATCTCAGTGCTTTCCCCTTCATACAACACCAAAACAACAGATCAAGAGCTATTCACAACACTTAAATAAGTTTCTCAGTGTCAATTTAATTCCCTGATAAAAGACTACGAGAAGCTTTAAAGTGTCCTATTTCTTCTTATTTTGATGATGTCAGCTGAGGCGTTTTGAACTATTAACGTTAGATAAGATGAATTTGCACGTTTATACTTTAATAAGCAGTTGAGATGAACTTACACTGACACATCTTATCTACATCACCTTGTGCCAAGCCGAATAAAGTCAACTTCAGCAGAAATTACACCCCCTAGCAAAATAGCATACATCAAACGAGAGCAATACGTAGCTAACACACACAGAGGCGTTGTTGTTAGAGTTTGAATCGTTTCTAGATGCTTCTGCTTGAGTCTGATCATTAGCATAATGCTAACAATTCTGCTGCCTCATCACTGGATGACAGACTTCAGTCAAACTGTCCACATACACACGCAGACTGACACTTACTATGCTTTCTGCCATGTTGCTGGGATGAACCTTCCCTCCTGGTGCCGCTGAAATGAGAGCTGGCTTATTTTAATTTCGCTGTTTATCTGATCTGCTCGGGTCTATGCAGCGATGCCAAACTCACAGAGCCGGTGCTACATCTATATGCGTCCGGGCTATGACGGGATCCTGATTAAAGCCACCGGAGAGAAACAAGACTAATGTTGTGTTCCTGCATATGGTCATTTATTTTAAGAAACGGTGAGAGTGTTTATATATATATATATATATATATATATAAACACTCTCACCGTTTCTTAAAACGAATTACACCTCTTTTCTTGAGAAACAAGGAATGATAATCATTCAGTTTTAGTTGAATGTTAATGGAATTTGCATTTTGGATAAAATCTAGTTTTATTGGCAATACTACTTTTGAATAGATATGAATACAGGGAACTGTATTAGTAAGGACCACCATGTTCTATGGTAAGTGAAAGAAGAAAAGGACACAACTGGCTCTTCCTGCAGATGAACGTGAGGATGAGATGGGTTTTAGTGACAATAAGAATGATGCAGACTTGACATCTGATAGAGACAGTTCAGGTAAGTTAGCTCAGAGGCAGATAGGACAAGCATAGTATAGTATATAGTATAATATATACATATTGTTCGATAGTTACATTATTCTTATGCATCTGGATATAATAGATTTGTTATTTATTTGTTATATTTACTAGAGAAAACATTTATATTTACTGTATGTTGTGTTCATAATATTGATTATGTATAATATTGATAATACAATATTAGTTTTGTTTTTTAATAATATTCAGCAAAAAAGAATAGAATAAATGAAAGCTATTGGAATATGAGTTGTTGGAAAGTGTGTATAAGGTGTCATTCATAAGTTCTGTGTTAAAGCTTATAATACTGCAACACTAGTTAAATAAATTCAAACAACAAAACTATTAATTATAAGGAAAGTTTTAAATTTTAAATTTCTAAGTTAGTTCCACTGTTGAACATAGTTGCCATATGGCAACATATCATAAAGTTCCTTAAAAAATGAATTTTTTCCAATTTTGTTTTTTACAGCACTTCAAGTTAAGCCATTTTAAGGCAAGGCAAGGCAAGCCAAACTTTATTTATAGAGCACAATTTAATACAACTGTAGTTGATCCAAAGTGCTTTACAATGAGATTAAATATTTAAGAAAATAAAATAAAATAAAACTTGTATTAAAAATGTAAGAAAAGGAAATAAATATGTATAGTTTTAATACTAAAATGCAGATCAGAAATACATGTATGAGTCACTCAAAAGCAAGGTAGTAAGTCTTTAAGTTAGATTTAAAAGTATCCAAGGATGGAGAAATCCTGGGCCCGGTTTTTCAAAAGGTTTAATCCGGATAAAATTGATGTGGATTTAGTAATCCTGTTTTTGCGATCCGTGATCACGTAATCCAGCTTACTTTTTGAGCCAGTTTTTCAAAGCAACATCGGATTGGATCTATCTGATCCGGATAGGAACTTTTTAGGATCACTAAATCTGGATAACCAGTGCTCAAACAGGATAGGAAATCACAATGTAGAACTATAGATATGTAAAGAGTAGAATAGCCAGAGTGGGGTCAATATAACTTTATTTTTATTTGAAATGAAAACTAAGAAAATTTAATAATTATTAAAATAATAATAATAATAAAAAATAATAAAAACAAGAAAAACTACACCCCATCCTCTTTATGCAGTCCACTCATCTGAGACCTACAACACTGTACATTGAGGATATTTATAATAAGTTTCAAATATATATGTAGATAAAAAAAGACTTAATGTCAAAAACTCCACAATAAGGTTAGACTTCCTCATCTGATGTGGAGAGAGCAGCTTGTTTCTTTGCCAGACGAAGCTGTGCTTCTGCCCTTTAAGTCTCTTTTTGCAATTGTTGAAAGAGATTTAAAAAATGTGTCATTGCCATTGTTTGCATTTTTTTTTTGCTATTTTGTATTTATTGCATGCATCACTAATAAATATTCTAAAAAGAAAAATATTTTTCATTGTGATGAATATATATATATATATATATATATATATATATATATATATATATATATATATATATATATATATATATATATATATATATCAGTTAGTGAAAGAATAAAATTGATTGTTTTTGGTCTGTTTTGACAGCTGTTTGGGGTATTATTTTATGAGGCCAAACTCTTTCTACTTTGCTGTAGGCCTATACTGAAAGGCTGAATACGTTAAAGCCTATACTCACTATAGCCTGACGGATGAACAAATAAAATTAAAACCTTATGAATCAATAGTATATCTCGTAAGATACTGTATGATCCAAAAATAGCATTATTTAATAATTTTTTTAAGTTTTCATTACATTTCGGGCATGAAATCCACGCTAAGTCCACCCTTCTGATGGGATCGGTTTAATCCAGGTTTTTTGGATCAAAGTGATCCAGATCCTACAAAAAAGGTCTGAAAAACCCAAACTAAAGGTTTGATCCGGATCAAAACCAAGATTAGATTACGTGATCTAATCCGATTATGTAATCCGTTTTTTTCTTTTGAAAAACCCATTTTCAAGATTTGATCCAATCCCTTATCCAAAATCCTAGTGGATTACTTTTGAAAAACCGGGCCCTGATGTTCAATGGAAGAATGTTCCAGAGCCTTGGGGCCACAACACAGAAAGCTCGATCACCTTTTGATTTGCAGCGAGACCGAGGGATCGACAAAAGAAACTGATCATGGGACCTTAATGGTCTACAAGCTGTATATGTCCTAATAAGTTCACTGACATAAACAGGGGCAGAATTGTGCAAAGCTTTATATGTAAAAAGGAGGATTTTAAAATCAACTCTGAATTTTATAGGAAGCCAGTGCAATGAGGCGAGGACAGGGGAGATATGATCTCTTTACTTAGTTCCTGTTATCAATCTGGCGGCTGCATTTTGGACCAACTGTAACTGAGAGAGTGTTGACTGGGGAAGACCAATGTACAAGGAGTTGCAGTAGTATAACCGAGAGGAGATTAAAGCATGGGTTATAGTTTCTAGATATTTTTTAGAAAGAAATGGTTTAACTTTTGAGACCAATCTAAGTTGGAAAAAGGTGCTCTTCACCACTGCATTTACATGCTTGTCAAACTGCAAAAATGGATCAAAAATTACCAAGAGATTCTTGGCATGACTGTGCAGATTACTACTTAGAAATCCTTGCTGAGTTTTAATTGAATCGTTGGAAGCAGCAGGACCTAATAGGAGCACTTCTGTTTTATTTTTATTTAGTTGCAGAGAGTTATTGGTCATCCGGGTCTTAATGTCGGTTAGGCATAGGAAAAGGTGTTCTAATGATAAATCTTTTCATAGTTTAATAGGAAAATATAGTTGGAGGTCAAGTAGTTTTAAGAAAAGATAATTAGTCAGATATATTTTTTATAGATTTCTCATAATGTGTGAAGTAGAGGGTTAACTAATGAAACCTTATTGGAAAGTGGTATCCAAGTATACTGTTGTAGTCAATATTTAAAGTGGATCAAAAAAGTTTTTCAAACATTTTCAAAGACAAGAATGGGTGCTGATCAATTAGTTTAAGATAACTTTAATGAAAGGTTTTGATCCACTTCAAATGTTGACCACTAGATCTTTTTCCACAGGTGGAAGCATACTATTTATAAAAATTATTTAAACATTACTATTCTTTATTTATTTCCCTCGCCATGACTCTTACAAGAATGTCAGATGCATAAAAAAACAAGCAAATCTTTTTTTCCTCTTTTTTTCAAGCTTTATTTTGATCTCATCCTGTAGAGAGAAAACGTCACTTCAGTCACCGCTGTTGTCAACCCAAACATGCTCTTAAAAGCATGAATATTCAATCTAAAATCAATATATGCACAATATAGGCCAGACAGCACAGAAAAACTTCAGAATTCACAAGGACACAATGCTAACAAACATCATGTTAATTTCTGCACACTTCCTTGATAATTATTCCTTCTTATTTAAACCACTTCTGTTTGGTTTTACTTTAGATATATCAACTGAAAGAATGGGGGTGATGACTGTACGAGAAATGGGCTTTTACACTGCAGAAGATTTAATGAAATCCAACACAAACAATGGATGACGAATGAATGAATGAATGACTATAAAGTGTTGAAGAAAGTGCATGCAACAAACAGAAAGTGGGAAAAAAACTCTAAAGTAAAATAAAGTTGTCTAAAAAATCAGAGTCAAGAATGTTTAAATGCTGCTACTGTACATGATCAATTGAGAATGAATAATATAATACAGTAAGATGTACAAATAGAAATATATGATTGTAAAACTGAAATGGGATGATGTTGAAGAAAAATATGATGATGAGGATGAAAAAAATGAAAGAAACACAAGACACGACAGCCCAATACTGACTCTATGAGTCACCTGAGAGACTTTCTGAAACTGAAAATACAGCCAAAAATGATTTCTAATGATGCGACTGTGTGTGTCACTGCATTAAGAGGTTGCAAAAGCACAAAACAACACTTCTTGATGGCATTTGTGCAACTTAAAAACAAAATAAAAAGAAAACGCAAACTTTAACATCTGCATTGATTACCCAATTGAAAAAAGTTTAAGTTTAATTTAGTGTCGGCCAGCAGGGTGTTTCATCTCTACAGGACTTTGATCTTTTCTTAAACTCGGTGAAGATGGACAGACGAGGCACCGAGGCACATGAAATGAGAAGCCAGGCATTTCACGGGCACATCTCATGTTTTTTTAACTCACTTTGAGGCTGTCTTGCTTGCGTAAGTTTTGTTTTTTGGGAAGAAAAGAATAGAAAAGAAAAGAGCAGCATGTTTTTCTAGGCAAACAGAATGCGGCCTGATGGGATCGTATACATCTTTCTCTTCTACAGTTTGAGCAGAACCTGTTCTTGAACTGCAAGAAAGAAAAGAAACCTGTGGGACGGATAGTCAGGTAGATTTTTTTTTCTTCTTTGTAACCATTTTTCCATTTTTATACAATAAACGCTGCTGTTTTTGTGTTATTAAAGTCGAAATGATCCACTTGGAGCCGATGGAGGACATGGCAGAAAGGGGTCTAAATTGCACAAACGATGACAGGCTCAGATGATGCCATACTGAGCCAATTCGTGAAGCTCCAGATGGTTGAAGGCCTCCCAGGGGCAGATGACGGTGATGTCTGGAGGTAGAAAACACAGCGATATGAGTTCATCTGTCATTCGAAGGGTAATGTAAGCTGATTGAAGGCTAGTTAGTGTTTAATCATGCCATTGATGATTCTCAGTATAAGAGCTTTGACTGACACACAGGCACTAATCATGTAGACAAGGGCGGCTTAGCATAGATGTGTTTCATATTGGCAAAAACACGTGAGGTGAAATGCAGATTAGACTTACCAGTGCCTAAACCTTCCATGCCGGGGATGTCATCTCCGAACCTGTTCAAATGAAATGAATTAAATACACAATGAAATAAAATAATTATACAATGACATGAGAGATAATATATATATATATATATATATATATAAATTTAAATTAAATTAAATGCATTACAATTTAAAAGAAATATAAACATTTTTTTATAAAATCAAATGAAAATTTAAAAAGAAAATTTTTAATAGTTATAAAACAAAATGTAAAATTTAATTATAGACAGGGCTTAACCAGCAAGCAAGGTAAGCAGTCACTAAGGGACGCGGGTAACTCTTTTATACTATATATTATATATTTTCTATCATATGTTGTAAAATCTGTTCATAACTGTTAAGATTTGAACGTTATTACTTCTTTTCAACACCGGGTTCCCCATGAATAATGGAATGTTCCGGTGTGAGTGCTTCTGCCAGCCAGTGTTGATAACTTAGCAACTTTTTAGACCGCCCCTAGTGCCAAATAAAAAAAAGCGACTAGTGAATGTTTTTAGGTGTTGCTGGAGATTTTTAGAGACTCTCATTGTGTCCGTGCTGTACCATTCCTAACGTTACTCTTCACAACGAGGTGCGGGTGATGCGGTCTCAAGAGCACTCAAAGGCGACACAGTATCACACACCCGTCTCTCACACCTGCAGCATTGAGAGCAGATCATTCCTCTGCATATCTTCGGCAAATGTTTTAGCACCGGGAGCGTGAGGTCTTTCCCTGGTACAGTCAAACCGATCTGCTTATTTTTTTGTTTCAAATGTAATGTTTTAAATGGACCGTTAATTATTTTCTTGCAGTTGTTTTCAATCACAGAGATTTTAGTGACACCAGTCTGCCAGCAATGAGATTAAAGGCGGGTAGAATAGGCAGGAGTGAGAATTTTGAGAACATTTGGGGAAAAAAAGTAGAAATACAACAAACAACTAAGCGCAGCTTCCTCTGCCATCCTGCTGTCTGGCTAAAACAGCTGTTAGATGATGAGCGCTGAAACGGCCACCGAATCACAAACAGCAATTACCCAATTTATATGTAAAATGCTTTTCAATAATTTTTATTATTATTAAAATTTAATCACAGAGATAGCTAATTAACTGTACATCAGGGTGCCCAAACTAGGCCCCCATACCTTGAATTGCTTAGGGCCCCCAAATCACTAATTCCGCCCCTGATTAAAGAGTATATACAGTTGAAGTCAGAATTATGAGCCCCCCTTCATTTTTTTTATTATTTTTTTTAATTTCCAGAATAATGTTCAACAGGGCAAGGAAATTTTTACAGTATGTCTGATAATATTTTTTTCTACTGGAGAAAGTCTTGTTTGTTTTATTTTGGCTAGAATAAAAGCAGTTTTGAATTTTTTTAAAGCAATTTTAAGGTCACAATTATTAGCCCCATTAAGCTATATATTTTTTCAACAGTCAGCAGAACAAACCCTAGTTAAACAATAACTTACCTAATTACCCTAACCTGCTTAGTTAACCTAATTAACCTAGTTAGGCCTTTAAATGTCACTTTAAGCTGTATAGAAGTGTCTTAAAAAATTCTAGGCAAATATTATGCACTTTCATCATGGCAAAGATAAAATAAATCAGTGATTAGAAATGAGTTATTAAAACTATTATGTTTAGAAACGGGTTGAAAAAAATCTCTCTGTTAACCAAAAATTGTGGAATAAAATTAACGGAGCTAATAATTCAGGGGGGCTAATAATTCTGACTTCAACTGTATATATTTTTCTAAAAATCATTTATATAAATATAAAATTAAATGACAATTTATTAAATTACTTATTAAATAGAAATAATTAGATGCATTATTTCCTTTCTATAATATTCTGAAAATACATTATACATATTTTTAGAACGTAATCTTGCAGAATAACAAGATATATCCTTCTCATTGCTTTATTATTATTTTAGTATACAAAAATGTGTGACAAAAACATTTTACTCTATGTCTCTTACCCTTGGATACCCTTCTTTGGGGGCTTGCTCTTGAACTGGCGGGTTTGCCTCTGCTTGAATTTAGGGGGCCCTTTGCGTGGTGTTGCGGGACCACCGGTGACTCGGGTGGCCGATTTGATCTCTGGTTTGGGCGGCTCAAGATTCATGGCTGTTGGTCACTTCTGTTTGGATTTGCTCCCCGTGATGTAGAGCTGAGGTAAATATAGCAAAAAGACTGGACTGAGTTTATATACACACAAAGATGTATAGATTTTTCTATAAAATGTAGTTTTTTAATTAATTCTGAAAAAAGAATTTATTGAAAAGACATTTGACACATAAATATACATTGATTTGTATTCAGAATAATTCTTTTTTTTTTTTTAAATCAATTACGTTTCAGTTTCTGTTAAACAGAAAAGAAGATATTTTGAAAAGTGTTGGACACCAGTAACCACTAACTATCATTTTATATATATATATATATCCACATTTTTTATGTTACAGCCTTATTCCAAAATGGATTAAATCACTTTATTTCATCAAAATTCTACACACAATACCCCATAATGACAATGTGAAAAAAGATTTTTTGAAATTTTAAAAAAGCTGAAAAATCACATTTACGTAAGTATTTACAGCCTTTGCCATGAAGCTCTAAATTGAACTCAGGTCCATTCTGTTTCCACAGATCATTCTTGAGATGTTTCAGCAGCTTAATTGCTCACCTGTGGTGAATTCAGTTGATTAGACATGATTTGAAAAGGCATACACCTGTCTATAAGGTCCCAGGGTTGATAGTGCATGTCAAAGCACCACCAAGCATGAAGACAAAGGAATTGTCTGTAGACATCCGGGACAGGACTGTTTCGAGGCACAAGGCTGGGGAAGGTTATAGAAAAATTTCTGCTGCTCTGAAAGTTCCAGTGAGCACAGTGGCCTCCATCATCTGTAAGTGGAAGATGTTTGGAACCACCAGGACTCTTCCTAGAGCTGGCCGGCCATCTAAGCCGAGTGATCGGGGAGAAGGGCCTTAGTCAGGGAGTTGATCAATAACCCGATGGTCACTCTTTCTGAGCATTCTTCTGTGGAGAGAGGAGAACCTTACAGAAGGACAACCATCTGTGCAGCAATCCACCAATCAGGTCTGTATGGTAGAGTGGCCAGACAGAAGACACTCCCCACCTGGAATTTGTCAAAAGGCATCCGAAGGACTCTCAGACCATAAGAAACAAAATTCTCTGGTCTGATGAGACTAAAATTGAACTCTTTGGAGTGAATGCAAGGCATTATGTTTGGAGAAAACCAGGCAGCGCTCATCACCAGGCTTATACCATCCCTAAAGTGAAGCTTGGTGGTGGCAGCATCATGCTGTGGGGATGTTTTTCAGCAGCAGGAACTGGAAGATGCTTCAGGATAGAGGGAAAGATGAATGCAGAAATGTACAGAGACATCCTGAATGAAAACCTGCTTCAGAGTGCTCTTGACCTCAAACTGGGCCAACGGTTCATCTTCCAGCAGGACAGTGACCCAAAGCACACAGCCAAAATATCAATGGAGTGGCTTCACAACAACTCGGTGAATGTCCTTGAGTGGCCCAGCCAGAGCCCAGATCTAAATCCTATTGAACATCTCTGGAGAGATCTGAAAATGGTTGCACATCGTCGCTTCCTATCCAACCTGATAGAGCTTGAGAGGTACTGCAAAGAGGAATGGGCAAAAATTCCCAAAGGCAGGTGTGCCAAGCTTGTGGCATCATATTCAGAAAGACTTGAGGCTGGAATTGCTGCCAACAGTGCATCAACAAAGTATTGAGCAAAGGCTGTGAAAACTTCTGTACATGTGATTTTTCAGGTTTTTTATTTTTAATAAATTTGCAACAATTTCAAAAACTCTTTTTTTACATTGTCATTATGGGGTTTTGTGTGTAGAATTTTGAGGAAATAAAAGAATTTAATCCATTTTGGAATAAGGCTGTAACATAAAAAATGTGGAAAAAGTGAAAAGCTATGAATACTTTTTGGATGTATAGAAATATAAATATATTATTATTATTAGTGCTTTTTTATGAGTTTTTTTCTGTTGAACACAAAAAGGAGAATGCTGGAAACTGGTATCCTTTGACATTCTGAGTAAAAAAAATAATAAAATTGTTTATTGTGTATAATTATAGAGTATATGTGATACACACACAAATCAGAAACAAAAAATTTTCTTACATAGATATTTAAATATATAATATGTATCATATATATATACACATACATACATACATACATATATATATATATATATATATATATATATATATATATATATATATATATATATTGTATCGAAATTTAAACATTTTGTCAAATATATGCATGAATGTGTGCAATCATATTTACATAATCAATTTACGCAGTGCACATATTTAAAATATGTCAAAAAACTTTTATTTTGGATCTGATAAATCGCAATTAATTTTTTCTCAGCACAAATTTTTTTTTCTTCAACATTCTTCAAAATATCTTCTTTTGTGTTCAACAGAAAAAAGAAAGTCATAAAAAATATAAAACTCATAAAAGTGGTGAAACTCATAAAAGTAAAATGGTGAAAAGTGGGGAGTAAATTTGGATGAACTTTCTAGAATTTGACAAGGTCAGACGGGCATCTACTGAACATCTATGGCCGCCACTTCACCAATAATCCTCTTACTGATGAGTAACACGCAAATCCAAATACATATTGGGCTGTAATTGAATGTCCAGGATGGCCCGTGCCAGAGTGTGTGATGGGTAGGGTGACCCATTTAGGGTAATCCAGAGAGTGGATTAATAGATGTCCCCCATCCCAATATTGGCAATCTGCACTTGGGTTAATCTTATTAGAGCAGGGATAACAGCAAACATGCTGAGTGAACAGAAACAATGAGAGTCAAAATATGACCTTCAAGTTTATTCCATTATTACTAAATAGAACTGATGCCGTAGGGTTACTGTGGCATAGACATCTGTTGTTTTGTCCTTTTTATGCAAGTAAGATAATATTGAATTTTTTATGCTTATATAATAATAATAATAATAATAATAATAATAATAATAATAATAATAATAATAACAATAATAATAAAAATAATGATAACAATATAATAATAGGGATTTGTAAATATAATTAGCACAAATGCATGAATTATTTTTTTCAATTATCAATTATATTTAAAAATCTGTTTAATTAATATGATTTAGATATAATTATTTTAATAATAATGATTAAAAACATGAATAAATAATAATAACAATAATATTGTTAATAATAGTAATAAACATAATATGGGTTTGTAAAAATATTTAGGAAAAAGTAATGAATTACTTAGAGTTTTTAATTATAATATTAATAATAATAATAATTTATTATTATTATTATTAGTGTTGGGGTTTTGTTGGGGATTAAATAGATTTTTTAAAATCATAAATTATGATTACAAATCTGTTTAATTAATGTGACTAGGATATAATTATTTTAATATATCCAATTATTAATAATAATAATAATAATAATAATAATAATAATAATAATAATGATAACTTTAAAATATTTAGCAAAATTAATAAATAATAAGAGTTTTTAATAATAATAATAACAATCACAAAAAAAACTAATAAAAATAAATAAATAATAATAAATAGGTGGTTCATTCCACTGCTGATAAAGCAGGAAATAAGACGGAATGTAAGTGAGTGAGTGAATAATAATAATTGTGTGTGTGTGAGTGTGTGTATGATAAAAATACATAAAATGTATTTGCATTTAACAATAAAAATTATAATCCTAACAACAATGCTAATGCTACTCCTGCTAATAATAATAATAATTAGCATATTGTTTATATACATATTGCAATAAATCACATTTAAAATCATTATAAATCTTAAAGATAAATATTTTTTGGAAATTATTTAAAATAATAACAACAACTTTAATGAGGGCATTTGTTTGTTACATATTAAAAATACACACAAAAAGAGAAAGATAATAACAATTAAATATGATTTGAAAAAACATTTCTAGATTATTTGATTTCATTATATATCTTTTCCCATTTTGTTGACAAATATTTTCACATAATATCTCAAACAACTTTGTATTTGTACATATTAATCTATGGTCTGGAATGAATAAATAATCATACAATACTTAATCAAACAATATTCAATATGGCATGTTGTTTTCCTCATTAAATAAACAGCCATTAAATAAATGGAATGGAGTACAGTCAGCTAATCATCATCATCATCATCATAAAAAGAAATCCCCAGTCTCATTATAATATCACAATCATTATTTCAGCATTTGCTCATTATTTCCTTCAAGAGTGTTATTTGAGCTGAAATGTTGTACTCACGGGTTTGTTGGTCGTCTGGGTACAGTTGTGGACGTCACCGCCGGGCTTTCTTTAGGAGCGGAGCGATGCTTTCAGCTCTTTTATAGTCTCGGCTCCTTCAGAAGATTAGGAAAGGGACGCCTCTTGCCCCTGATCCTCCACTGTAGGGAAACACACACACAAGTCTGTGTATTTGTGTAATTCTCTGTTATTATTATTATTTTTAATAAAAACAAGAAAAAACAAACAAATATTGCGTTTACAGTAATTGAATACATGCATATTTGATTATGCATTTGGCATTGATTGGTCTATGTTAGCTCCACAAAATATGGAAAAGTTCAACAACAACAACAAAGAAAAGATTATATAATGTTCAATAAGGTGTTTTAAAAACAAATTTATTACAAATCAAAACTTTATTTCATCTGTTTGTTTTAGATGTCTTCTTTTTATTCCAAATACATAACTACATAATGCAATGTATCGTCTATTAATATATACATTAATATAATATTGTTAAAAAAGTTACTAAATATAATCATTTTAAAATATTATTTAAACAATTTTGCTCTCACAATAGAATTATACACAATAGGAACATCGCGATATGACAATGGCATAGTCGTCACTTTATAAAGCTCAATTTGAGATGTCAAAAAAATTTTTTTTTATATATTATTAAACATTTATGAATACATATGATCACCTATCCACACTCTAAAACAATGATGTTTGTTGTTTGTTCAAACAACTTATTTAAAATGAGAGTAAATAACATAATTGTTTCATTTTTGGGGGGGGACAACTTTATTGTTTCATGTTCAATCCATGTAAATGTGCAAAAACTATTAAGTTAACTTAATTTCTTCATGTTTTCGCAACACAAATCAACTGTGTGGAAGTCAGCATTTAAAGTGCCCTCCTAATAAAAAACATTAATAGAAACATTATTTAAAGCTGATTTGCTCGTTTGAGAACATTATTATAAATTGTAAACTATTTATCATCATTCGAAGGTTAATATTTACAAATACTGTAAATCTACTTGCCAGCCCACTTTCCAGAAGGTTTCCAGAACAGTCTTATAGGGATTCGCTGATTAAATAACACTGGATATCATTGCGGAAATATCCAGAAACTGAACATTACTGGTGTTTATTTCACAAATTTCTGTGATCATTAAACAACAGGCCACATCTGTGAGTGTTTGTCACATTATCCAAACTCCAGACAAAACATCAGGCTCAACCTCTGCTTCACACAAACACGATTTGATTCCGGACTGTCTTCAGAACAGCACAAAAACAATTACACATGAAGACTTCAGATTAAAGGTTGGAGGTTTAATTAGTTGATTAGGTGGTCTAGATCTGCGGGCTGGATTAAGGCATCTGCTCATACTGGTAATGAAACTCTTTGTTATTGACAAGCTGCTGTCAGTTAAATATTATGACATCTGAGATTAGGATTAGTCGGTTTAAGGGGTTCTTTGCTTTATATTACTACACGAGAGAAATCTTGACTATATCTAATTAATTTTTTTATATAATTTAACAGTATAATATAGTATAATTTAATATAATATAGTATAATATAATGTAGTATATTATAATACAATTTAAAATAGTATAATATAATATAATATAATATAATATAATATAATATAATATAATATATTATAAGGGCGAAGCAGTAGCGCAGTAGGTAGTGCTGTTGCCTCACAGCAAGAAGATCGCTGGGTCGCTGATTTGAGCCTCGGCTCAGTTGGCGTTTCTGTGTGGAGTTTGCATGTTCTCCCTGCGTTCGCGTGGGTTTCCTCCGGGTGCTCCGGTTTCCCCTACAGTCTAAAGACATGCGGTATACAGGTGAATTGGGTAAGCTAAATTGCCCCTAGTGTATGAGTGTGTGTGTGTATGTTTCCCAGAGATGGGTTGCGGCTGGAAGGGCATCCGCAACGTAAAAACTTGTTGGATAAGTTGGCGGTTCATTCCGCTGTGGCGACCCCTGGTTAATAAAAGGACTAAGCCAACAAGAAAATGAATGAATAAATAAATAATATAATATTATACAATATAATATAATACAATATAATATAGTATGATATAATAAAATATAATACAATATATACAATATAATATAATAAAATATAATATAACACAATATAATATAGCATTATTTAATAAAATATAATATAATAAAATAGCATATAATGCAATATAATATAGTATAATATTCATTCACTGTTACACTTACATTACTACACGAGAGAAATCTTGACTATATCTAATACATTTTTTTAATTGATAATATAATATAGTTTAATATAATATAGTAAAATATAATATAACATAATATAACATTCAGACAGTTTGTTTAAAATACTTATTTAAAGGCAAAAAAAGTGGGCTAAAACAATTTCTGAGTTTTTTTTGTGGGGACAGCTTAATTGTATTATGTTCAATCTGCTTAAATTTGTAAAAGCTTATCTAATTTCTTCAGGTTGTCCAAGCACAAATTGATTGTGTGAAACAGCATTTTTACAGTGTAAGAATCGTCCAAAGATTCTATATGTATATCTTCTTGTAACCATAAAACACTAATGATCTATTTGCCGTCTTATTTATATGTTTGATTTGTTGCTTTGATTACTTCTGTCGTCCTCATATAAGTTGCTTTAAAGGAAGTTCACCCAAAACTTAAAATTCTGTAATTTTCTGTTGAACACAAAAGAAATACTTTAAAATGTTGGAATCTGGTAACCATTGACTTCCATAGTATTCGTTTTTCACATTATGAAACCGGTAAAGCTGCACAGTATATCATTTCAGCATCCATATCGTAATATGCGCATCCGCAATAGTCAGATCGCAAAGATATGCAATGTTGAGTCTGAATTATAGTTGAGCAAGAGCTACCAAATTGTATTTATTCACTGTTTTTATACAGAATTTATATAATTTATTTATTTTTTTGCTAAAACAAATCTTACTTAGAATTTTTGTCTTGTTTGCAAAAACAAGATCATTTCCCTTACCCTTCTGGCAGATCAATTAGCCTGTTTTAATGAAAACCTCTTAATAATGATTTTTATTTCTTCTGAAAGTGAAAACAAAACACTTTTTAATTGCTGTAAGAATTTTTTTATATTTGGACTGGAAGAGAGACAAAACAAGGTAAAAAAAAAAAGTATTTTTGACATGGTGATTATTTAATTTCTGTACCCGAACACTGTTAGACTCCCCAGAAAACCCTCAAATAGAGCCATTCAAAGTATCTTGTAAAACTGTAGTCATCTCGCAATATTTAATTCAGAAAAATAAACATCGCAATATCAGATTTTCCAATAACGTGCAGCCATAACATTCTTCAAAATATCTTCTTTAGTGGAACTTATAAAGGTTTGGACAGTTGTTGCAGAGTAAAAAGAAAGCAAATAGTGTGCTATCCCTAAAGCATGTATATTCCTAAAGCAAATGTAAATACATTATCTGTCTACGCTGACAAACTGGGATCATTCTTAGACCTATCATTAGAGGCAGAACAAATGTAATGTGCTGTGTTAAATGGGCATTTATGGGTCAGTAGTGTTTTTAGTTCAAAATGAGTCAGTTTAAGGTCAGGGGGTCGACTGTGCCCACTGTTCCGTCTGTGAGTAATGAGACATGAAGAGACACAACAGAGAAATTGATCTGCGATCACTGAGGTCATGTGCTCCAACTAGCTGTGAGATTACTAACCCGACTCACTCTCTCAATACACACGTGATCAGACTCTGATCCCTGCTGGTTATTTCAACCATTAAAACCATCAACTTGATTTGACGTCATGAGAATTCATAGCTTTTAACTGGCACTTTGAAAATACAGAATTGTTTTTTTAAACTATTGTTGACTAAACAATATATTAGATCTAAAACCTTTGTGTGTATGTGTGTGTGTGTTTGCACATAAACACACATACATATTAAGGAAAGTATTTATGATATTTATTTGATACTTAATAATTATCATGTAGTCCAGCTTGATAGCTTGGAAATGATACCCAAAAGGGGATTATAACAATAATAATGCACATCAAAGATTGACTTAGCAAAATGTAAAAAAAGAAAGTAATAAACTATGAATAAAACCAATAGTCTATTAATATGTGTCTATTAAGTATGTGATGTGTAAATGATGTGTATGTGTGTGTAATAAGCATTGACTAAAATCAAACAAATAAAATATTTATTTATTATTATAATTAGTATTTTTCATCTACTTTGGTGCACTTAAACTAAAAAAAAACTGAACAAAATATATATAAAACTATCAAATCTAAATAACAAAAAAAGATTCTAAACTAAATAAAATAAATTATATTAAAATAACACTCATCCTGCACATGCATTCAGACAGACAGACAGACAGACAGACAGACAGACAGACAGACAGATAGATAGATAGATAGATAGATAGATAGATAGAGCTGTCATCCATGACCTCCATGAATCAGTCCCAGTCTTTTGAACATCTCGTGCACAGAATATCTGACCACTGTTGGCGTCATTCATCATAAATCCCTCCAGCAGCTGGATCACAGACACTTCATGAAGCCCTCACGTGCTGAGTCAGATCAGCATGAGAGGCGTCAGAGAAACAAGTCGAGCTGCTGAGACACCCTGAGCCTTCGAAGCAGCCAATGTGCTTTCTAATGCCACCCGAGCTGACCAGACAGACAGACAGATGAGCCGGAGCCATTCATATCAGCATCTGACGAGCACTGCCAGAAAGATATGACTTACAGTGTGTTCAAAGTTAATATTATAATCATATTTTATTGATTTCAAATTTCATCATACAAAACAGAAATATTCAAATAAATACAAATTGAAAAAAATAATATCTATCTATCTATCTATCTATCTATCTATCTATCTATCTATCTATCTATCTATCTATCTATCTATCTATCTATCTATCTATATATATATATATATATATATATATATATATATATATATATATATATATATATATATATATATATTATAAATTATATACAGTTAAGGGCAAAATTGAGACGCCCAGCTGTAAAATATTTCTCAAGTGATATTTAATAGCACAAAGACAATTTCACAGTATTTTCAATTAGCTTTGCTTCATGACAGTTTATAATTTCTGAGATTTTTTTTCTACTTGTAATTCTAGTTTTTGAAAGTGTATTTTTAAAATATTATAATAAAATGTTAATTAATTAGTGCTTTGAAATAAGTTTCCTAATGTGGCTTTTAATATATAAATAAGATTTTGTGTTTTCAAAATGCAAGTTTTCACCATTTTATTATGAGATTATTTACATAATTGTTGGTAAATATTTTCTGGACACATCTAATGTAACTGCTATCTAGACAGTTTTAAGATTTCTGGGTTATTTCAAAAAATACTGTTTTCTTGACTCTTCAGAAATTAATACACTGCTGTGTTGTCTGCAAATTAATATAAACCGGTCTAAAAAAATCTCCTTTCTCACAAAATATTCTTTAATATTTTTCAGAAATGTTCTTGAAAACTCAAAAAAAAAAAAAAAAAAAAAAAAAACATTTATATATATATATATATATATATATATATATATATATATATATATATATATATATATATATATATATATATATATATATATATATAAGTTGGCGGAATAAGTTGGCGGTTCATTCCGCTGTGGCGATCCCAGATTAATAAATGGACTAAGCCGAAAAAAAATAAATAAATGTAGTAATAATTTAAAATTTAATCCTTAAGGCCAGACGTAGTAAGCAAAAACTTTTTTTTTTTTTACGTGCATCTGTTAATTTTGCATTTCATATTGTTTTGCTTTAGCCTAATGTAAAGAAAACAATTAAAAGTGTACATATACACATACATATATATATATACATATATATATATTTTTTTTTTTTTTTCACTGCAAAAATGCTTTTCTTACTTACAGTTTTTGTCTTGTCTCTAGTCTGAATATCTAAATATTCTTAAATCAAGAATCATTTTCTAGACAAGCTAAATGTACTGTCTTGATTTACGAAATAATATGCCAAAATTAAGTGTTTTTCCTTAAAACAAGCAAAATAATCTGGCAATGGGGTGAGCAAAATAATCTTATTTTAAATCGACACACACTCACACACATACACTAGTTACTGCTTCTTGATATAAGAATTTGTAGATATTTGGACTATAAACAAAACTTTAAGGTAAGAAAAAGATTTGTTGCTGTGTTTTGCCTTGACAAACTGAGTCCTAAATCGCCTACCACTCTAGTAGGTACTACATTTGGATTTGAATTTGCTACACAACCGTTCGAAAAGTACATTCTGTGTAGCATGGAAATATGCGATTTTGGCCTGAGACTCACCTATAAAAACAGTGCAAACAACCAGTGCTATGCAACATTTTCAGTGCTCTGTTAATCTCCAGTTCATTATCATCACGTCTTCTTCAGTAACTTGATCTCCATTTTCAGATAAGCCTTCAGGTTGTCATCTAGAACGTTCTTCTCGATGGCCTCCAGAGCTCTCTCTCCGCCGTCACTGTAATATTTCAGCAGTTTCTCAGCATATTCGATCCACACACAGTTATGGCAGCCACTCATGCAGCAGTGGGTAGGGGCAGACGGAGGACCCTCATCCCCAGTTTCAGAGCTGGGGATGAGGGGCTTCTTCACACTGCTGACACTGGAGGAAGAGTCTGGACTTGAACACTGCTGTTCACAGGCCGTGTGGTGCACACATGTGATCTGAGAGGGAGGAGGTTTGTTTCTGAACAGAGACATGGAGAAGATACACAGCTGTGGGGAGAAGGGGTTGAATAGATGTATGTTAGTTATGCAGGGATTTATTATGTGTGGAAAGATGAAAACGTTTGTAACAGAGCAATTCAACTGTTATGGATGTGACTCTTGCAGGAAAAAATTAAATTCACCTAGAAAGCATATATGTTGACAATATACTGAAACATCTGTTTATATTTTCCAAAACAACTGACCACAAAGAAAATTATCAACCTGAAAGCATATTTTATATTTTAAATGAGGAAAATAAACATGCTTTATGGATTTGACAAAAAAAGTTAGCGAGTTTACAGTACACAACATGCTTTGTAGAAATTCTGCACAACCCCCAAAATAAAAAATGCTAATCAAAAGGATAAGACTTGGCTCTCTATAAAACAAAAATTATTGATTTTATTGTACTTGACATATTTGCATGCAAAAAGAAAAAGCTTGGTTTTGGATGTACTGTACTATCTCTCCATTATGGATGTGACATATGTGAAATTGCCACTTGTGTGACTTTGGTAAATCAACTATAATAGCTTAAAAACATTGATAGAGACAATAAGACATTTTTGAGTATTTTTGAAGTACTGTAAAATACTTGCTTACACAAAAATGTAAAAAGGGTTTAGCTATTTTGGTGAAAACTTGATTTTTTTTCATGGCAAGGTTGACATTTGCATGGGACTGCTCTGTGTAATTTAAAAAAAGTAGTATTTTCATATACAGCAGGACTTTTTCAACTTTTCAAACTGCTACTTTGTGTTTTTAAAATGCTTGTTTTTTTACAATGAGACCATTAAAAAGGGCAAATTATTTTCTGCAAACAACTATACAATAATTTCTAAGAATGTATTCCACATCTAATTTTAGATTTGTAAAGTGTATGTTTAAAATATGATAATAAATGTTAGCTTATGAAATTATCTGGCCCTTTTAAATAGGTTTCTACTACGACTTTTTTATATTTCAATTTAATTTAGTGTTTTCGAAATGATTTCATGGTGAAACATGATTTCTGGACACATCTATTATAACTGTATCTAGACATTATATCTAGATACCACATTAGGGCTGCACAATATTGGAAAAATCTAACATTGTGGTATTTTTTTTAAATTTGCGATATATCTCTATTTGGAATTTTTTTTAAATGTTAGATCGATTAGGATGATTCTGCAGTGGGACTGCATCTCCATAAAATCTAATAATCAAAATTTTTAGGGGTTCCTGACACATTTTTGTTGTTGTCTGAGCTATTTGCAGTGTGTTTCTACATTTGCATGTGTTGTGAGTATTTCCATGCACAACATAAATATAATAAAGAAAAAAACTCTATTTAAATAGTTTTGTTTTATCATTTCCCGAGTCTAATAATATTCAAGTACAGTAACTGAATGATAAAAATAATTCAACAAAATTAATCGCAGGTTAGGTCACAAATGGTACAATTTCTTATACTTAAATGCTTTTAAAATCATTATACAATTACAGGCATCAAAAACACACGCAAATGATAAATTGTCATACAAACTCAACATTACAAATTCTGTGATGTGACTATTGTGAATGATCACATTGCGAAATTGATGTTGAAATGATATATTGTGCAGCCCTACACAATTTACAAGTTAAAACACTGCTGTGTTTTCTACAATTTATAAACGTCTCTGAAAACCTAGAACCTCTTTGGGGTTTTTTCTCACAAAAATATTCATAATTTTTCAGAAAAGTTCATAAAAATTTAAGGGCAAGTTCATATGTTAGTAAATAAATCAGTAAGTAAATAACCGCTTCAACGACTGTCATTTAAGACTGTTTGACAGTACAGTAATGTTTACACGTCTATGGTTTTACACATCGGATGCCCTTCCAGCCACAACCCAGTACTGGGAAACACCCATACACACTTATTCACACTTATGCACTTCAATTTGTTACATAATAGAGCATGTCTTTGGACTGTAGGGGATACCGAAGCACCCGGAGGAAACCAACGCGAACACGAGAACATGCAAACTCCACCAGCGACCTTATTGCTGTGAAGAGACAGTGCTAACCACTGAGCCACCGCGCCGCCTACATACCATTCTATCCTAGGTATTATGTATTTTTACAGAATTTTCCAACCCACCCTCTGTAAACACGAGCCAGCATTGAGTGAATTCATCGCAATCGTAGATGACAGTCTATTCAGCAACCGCCATGTTCTCCATATCCGCGATTCTCTTCTATTTAAGTGAAAAAAATTACAATCATTTTATAAACTATTTTCATTTCGCAAGCAGCAGGTAACGTTACCACTTCAACTGTATGCGTCCATGTTGAATCATGTGTGACCTCTGCGGTGAGTGACGGATATGCAGAATGCCGATGGCGAATCAAAATGAAGAGAACATATCCTACGAGCCAATCAGAAGTTAAGAGAGATCTTAAGAGGCGGGGTTTACAGAGAGCACAAATAAATAGCCTGCGCTTTTAAAACTCTCCGGTAGATGTCAGGAGTGTTTTTAATGTCACAACTAGATACTCGAAGCTAGAAGTGATGTCCAGAGATTCCTTCCTATAGTAAAATATCTTCGTTCTCGACTCAAACATAGCTTGTCCTTATTTAGATGTTTTCTGAGAATATTAAACCACTGAACAATTCGTATTTACTTATGATAACACCATGAAAACAGGAGTATGACTGCTAATCAAATGCAAGGGAGAACCAGTGAAAAATGAACTGATTAGCTATAATAACGTAATTAATGTAGGCTATATTGTAGTTCCTGTAAGCTGTTTGCTTTTCTATTCTATTTTAAACGTATATTCTGTGCCTTTTTGAATAATCTAATTATTAATTTAATAAATGTAGGGTTTTTTTTCTTAATAAAAATGTTCCTCATATTTTACTGTTTTTTTAAACCTGTAGGGTCATTAAAAGTTCTATTCATACATTACTTCTTGTCACTACATTAACTCGTCTCAAAATAGACTAAAAGGTAATATTAAACTTTACGAAAAATACAATAATTAAAGTTTTGATACTTAAAATAGTAAAATTTATACATATCATATTATTTTTAACGTAGTTGTTTAATTAATGTTTCTGTAAATTATGTGTAAGGCATATTTGTGATACTATAATTAATGTAAGTAAGTACAAATAAAATTGTAAATATGCTGCTTTTTTATGTTTAAGTTTGTTTGTTTTATCGAGATTGATGTTTTATCAGTTTCTGATTGTCAGTCTTTTCCATATAATGAGGATTAACTTATTTAATTATAGATAATAAATTGCCATTTTATGACAAGCCACATAGATTTAATATAAAATTAGCTTTCAAAGTAAATATTTTAGGCCAACATGTAGCTTAAAAGTACTGAGGTCACTTTTATGGTCAGCCAGAATGATGCATGTAATCACTCAGTCATTCCCACAGGTCTGTGTGTTTTAGAGGCACGTCCATAGAAACAGAACACACAGCACTCCTGAGATCTAAAATCTGCACGCATGGAGGCATTTCATTTTCAGCAGATAGATGTTGTTTAAAACCTGTATTTATCATAATAAAATGGCACATTTATAGATACTGCTGACTCAGAATCACTTACAAATGTTCCCATGGACAAAACCTGTTTTACTCTTTGGAGAAAACAAGGCTTGGCTTTCCTGTGATTAAGTCTGGAAAAACAAAGGCATGACTTTAATATGGTTAGCTGAGAAAATTGTAACTTAAAAGGAAGGAATTTTTCTTAGGACAAGTTTACTCATGTTTTGTTAGGTGCGAGCACAATGTGATATCAGAAGTGTTCAATAAAAAGCCAACAGGCCCGACAAGTTATCCTTAAAAATTGGGCAATGCCTTTATGTCATATAAACACACACCTGTCCTCAGTGATACCGTTATCATGGAGACAGAAATGTAAACTGGGGTCTGTAGAATCTCAGGCTGGTCTGATTCACAACATTATCAGAGCTGAGATTGGTGTGGCTCATGGAATATTTTTAATGATTGCATGAACAGGTGTGTCGACGCTGGAAGTTAGTCATTCCAAGACAGTTAAGATGTGCTATTTAGAGATATTTGCTGGAGGATTTGTGTTCATTGATAAACGTGCAAAACTGTTTTTCAGAATTAATGTCATTTAGCTTTTAGACAATAAAACTATTTTTTATTTATGTTTGAAAACTTGTTAACCAGTGAAATGTAAATATGAAAAGAGAGATCTTCCCAGAAATCCTTAACTAATTAATTCATTTTCCTTTGGCTTAGTCCCTTTATTCATCAGGGGCCGACACAGCAGGATCAACTGCCAACTTATCCAGCATATGTTTTACACAGCAGATTTCTTTCCAGCTGCAACCCAGTACCCACGGCAACACGGGGAGAACATGCAAACTCTATACAGAAATGCTAAATACCAGTCGGGACTCAAACCAGCGACCTTCTTGTTGTGAGGCAACAATTCTAACCACCGAGCTACCGTGTTGCCAGAAATCCTAAACTGCAAAAAAATAAAAATAAATAAATAAAAACTTTTTACTGTTTCAAATCATGTTACGATCTTATGATCTCTGCTTTGACAACTTTGGATGAGGTCATGTTGATTACAATAAATTTTGTGTAATGAGATGCCAGTACTTTTTCTGTTATTGTAAAAACTTAAATTCTTTCTATATGTTATATCTTATACAATATATTGTTTAAAATTAGTAAAGCCAACAAAAGTCACTTTGTTAAACAGCAAAATTTAGTTTTGAACATCAAAAGTTCTTAACAATAGAGTAAACAAACCATTAATCTACACATTGATTTTTAGTGTTAAAAGTAAACATTCTTTATTGACATTGATGGGTGCATAAAGGATCTTTTGATGCAAAATTTGCTTCATAAAACATACACTCAAAAACATGACGTTTGCTGTTTGTATTTATTTCAAATTAGCTGAATCAACACAAGGTTTATTTTTGTTTTATGTTCAAACCATTAAATTTGGACAAACTGATATGTTAACATAATTTCTTTATGTTGTCCCAACACAAAGTTATTGTGTGGAATCCCAAATTTTTTATGGCATATGTCAGAGTAATTAACGGTTCATTCCGCTGTTGTGACCTTTAATAAATCAGGGACTAAGCCAAAGGTGAGTGAGTAGCAGTGGCTTTTAAAATATGTTTGTGTGGACAAGGCCTGATTTTTCAGACTGATCTCATAAGAAAATGTAACTATATTACATATTGAAAATTGCCAAAATTCTACAAATTCACATGATTTTATTTGTGCGAAAATGTACCTAAGCTAAAATTGGGGGGATGAGCAAATCACTAAAATGCACAAATGAGATTGTACAAATCCATTCGAATAACCACTAGATCAAAATTAAGAATTTCTGTGAGATTATGATGGATTTTTATGTGGAGAATTCCAAATGCTTTTGGCTGGAAAATCAAAAGTATGTGATGTTTATGTACTTCATTCTTTCACATCACACAAAAATATTAATGCTTGTTTATTGTTTAAGACAATGCCGAAAGTTAATATAGTTTCTAAAATGTGATAATTAAACATAACAGTGTAATTTCAAATACAGTACCTATATTAGCATAATGCATGTAAAAATCAGGTTATGATTATTGTTGAGGCCGACTCATTACAAGTAACGTGAGTTACGTAATAATATTACTTTGCTAAGTAACGAGTAAAGTAACCCATTACTTAAAAAATTTAAGTAATAATATTTGAGTTACTTTTTAAATAAAGTAGTGTGAGTTCATTTTTAGTTGAATAAATTAGCATTTAACAAATAAGTAGCTGAATTAAAATTAGACAGTTAATTATACATGTTATACAGTGAGCTCCTCTGTTAAAAAAAGAAAACAAAACCAAAAAACACTTTTAAGTTTTCAAAAACAGATTAAGGTAAAAAAGTAATGCAAAAGTAACTCAAAAATAACATAACACATTACTTACCATAAAAAGTAACTAATTAATTTAACTGATTACTTTTGGGGTAATTAGTAACTCACTTTTGTAATGCATTATGTTCAAAAGTACTTTTCCCCAACAGAGGATATGATCAGATCCTTTTTAAATGGCTTTTTTTTCCAATAGTATCTGGATGCAGCCTTTATGATGCAAGCCCAGATTGCATCACTCAGCGATGCAATTTTAGACACAATGCACTCAAATGGAGCGAGTGACATCACTGTGAGGGGTAGGGTTAGGGGTGGGGTTAGGTAAGCCCATTAAAAAGCATTGGATGCGGCTCAGATTGCACTGCACCAGATCTGCAGCCAGACCCCTCTCATTTTTTCACAGATGCCATATTTGTTGTGTGCTAATTTTGTTACTGGGAGGAAAGGGAGCAGCACATACTGACTACATATTCACTACACCTACACAATATCCTCACTGCCGGCAGTGCAGACGGCCTTGAAATCTTCTATAGCACTTATAGACTTGTTGTTTAGTATTGTTGACTGCAGTTCGCTTAAAGGGATAGTTCATCCAAAATGAAATCTCAGCTATTGTTTACTCTCCCTTCACTTGTTCAAAACTATTTGAGTTGCTTTCTTCTGTTTTTTTTAAAATACTGGTTTCTGGGGGTGTTTCCCAGTATTGGGTTGCAGCTGGAAGGAGATCTGCTGTGTAAAATATATCATAATCAGAAAGAGTTTTATATGCTGGATTTATATTTATTTATAGGATTGTATTTATATTTATATGCTGGAATAGTTGGCGGTTCATTCTTATGATTGTTAAAGCCTATTATGGAGGTAAACTGGTGCCAGCAAGCAGCATTCTTCAAAACATCTTCTTTTGTGTTCAACAGAAGAAGCTTATTTAGTTTTAAAACCACGCGTGAACTGGTAAGGTAATTTTTAATTTTGGCCAAACTATCCCTTTAATATCCATCAGAGTTGCTAAAAATAATTTCCTAATTCAACATATAGCCCTTCTAACAATCAAAAACCTATATTTTGTTAACAGATAAAATCCAAATGTTACCGTTTATTCAGTACTTAAGTTTCCGATAAGTATGAACTCAATGTATTTATCAGAAATATATTTGCATATGACAATATTACCTTGTTAGATGATGAGGAAATGAAGTATGTAAAAGAGCATAGACAGTGAAAGCTACTGTGTGCCTCGTTTCTCTGACTGTGAATCAGTAAATATGCCTGGCATGTTGGCATGTCATCAGTTCAAGAGGAGGAAAGGTCCTTGAACACGCTTTCCCACATTTCGGTCAGTGAAAGCACACAAACACGTGCAAACATGCGCATACAGATCAAAACAGACACAAACTGTGTGTTGGATCGCTTTTGAATGTGTTCGATTTTATCTTTGGCG